GGGGCCCGCCGAGGCCGCCGCCAGCCGAGGCGCCAGTGCTGTCGCCCCCGTTCCCGTCGCTCTGGTTCCCCAGCGCCGCGGCCGCCGCGGTCGCCACGGTGCTGAAGGAGAGCACGGCCGCCGCGGTGGCCGCGGAGGAAGTCCCTCCAGGTGCGCCGGCCGCGGAGGGGGCTCCGGGGTGTGGGCTGCCCAACAAGGTCATTCTCGCTGGCGGGCGGACCGGCGGCGGCGGCGGCGGCTGCTCCATGGGGCCCCGAGGCGGCCGCGGCTGTGTTCATCCCGCACGGGGGGAGGCGGCAGCAAGCCGGGGGGCGGGGGGAGGGTGGCTCGGGCTGGGGCCAGAGGCCTCTGCCGGGAGTCGGGTCGGCGGTCGCCCCGTACCCGTCGCCCCGTACCCGGCCGATCCTTTGACGTGGGTTCTAGGCGTTGCCGAGGGAACGGTGTTTACGCAGGAGCGCGGGGCGGGACGCCGACCAAGCACCCTCCGAAGAGCCGGCCCACAACATCACTCCTCCACGAGGTTACCCGGCCAGGGAGTCTGGGCTTCAGCGGGGGCCAGGTTGACCCCCACCCCCAAGGGACTTCATTTATACGAGGGCCAGGTGAAGCGGGACGGGCCCTCATATAAATGGCCAAATTCAACAAGGGTTCACTCTTGAACTCTTGTCGGATACAAGTGTCCTACAGGAAGGCCTTTGCCGGGGACACTGCTTCCTGTTGATGTTTTTGGCACATGCAAGTAAGGGACCTAGAACCTAAGGTGAAAAACGGTCCAGATCCGGAGATCTTAAGCCTCGGGGGCCGAATAATGTGAACCAGGGTGTTCTCAAACTTGAACATGCAACAGAATCACCTAGAGGGCTCATTAAAACACAAGTGACTGGACCCAACCCCGGTTTCAGATTCAGTAGGTGTGGGGTCCGGTCCCAGAATTTGCATTTCCAACAAGTTAATAGGTAGTGATGATGTTGCTGGTTTGAGGAGCACACTTTGAGAACCACTGAGGTGGTGAGCTTATTAAAACGCATGTTTATGGATGACTCCCAGAATTATTGAGGATGGGCCTGTGAATCTGCACGCCACAGGTAGTTCTGATATAGGTGCTGTGAGGAGCTAGAATATGGATCTCGGAGACAGCAGGCCATCTTGTTTTCAAGGGTGCAGACCTCAGGACCATAAGTGGTTCACACGTGTGGTTCACACATAAGCTGCCACACGTGTGTGGCAGCGTTGGGTGGAGAGTGGAGAGCAATGAGTTCCTTGCCCTCTTGGCGGCCTTCCTCAGTTCTCTGGAATGTGGTGTGTAGGAAGTGCTACCAGCCAGGGAGTCACCGCTGTCGCAGCTCCAGGTTTGTGGCCGGGAGATGGAGAACTGAAAGGTCCTGCCTGCCCAGGGAAGCTGCATCTCAAGTTTCTGGGCATGGCCTCTAATGGGGGGAAATGTGATAAACCCTTAGGTTCTCTAAAACCATGGTTTGCAAAGTGTGGACCCTAGACCCACTGCATTAGCCCCACCTGGGACCTTGTCAGAAATGCAGATTCCCAGGCTCTGCCCCCAGTATACTGAATCTGAACTCTGGAGGTGGGGCCCGGCCATATGCCCCGCGAGTGATTCTGACCCACAGTTGAGAAACACTGCTCTAAAGAATGACCAGTGCACTTGCAGATCTTGGAATCAATGATATTAGTGCTTCGGATGCTTATTTCAATGAGGAAAAATATCTTACTGGAAATTTACAGTATAAATAGAAGTTTATTTAAGGTGGTAAACAAATGCATCATAGGAATTCATTATAGGATGTTTAACAGTAACTCTAGCCTCTGCCCACAACATGCCAGTAGTGACAATTAAAAATGTCCTTGGGGGGTTGGGGGGGGGGATGACCACAACTGAGAACCACTGAATTAAAACAAAGCTATATAGTAGTTTATTTAGCAGATCTTCTCTGTGCTAGGTTTTCAGAAACAACAAATAAGGATCTCAGCCCAAAGAACCTTACAGTTTTAGGCAAACCCAAATATGTTACAGTATTGTACGTGTTGTTAAAAAATATAATGAAATTCTATGGAGGTGATTATTCCTAGGGTAGCTGATGAAGACTTCACACGAGCAGTGACATCGGACTCTCCAAAATGAGAAGACAGAGAAGGACCTTTGAAATTCATGTGTAAAGTCTGGAGATAAGTGCGTAAGTTACTTGACTCTTGGGTACTGGTGACTGAGGGTAGGGATTGGAGAGAGAAATGATAAAATGATAAATGATAAAAGTTGACTGGAACCCTCTTATGAAGGCCTCGCATGCCATGTTACAGAGATTGAACTTCATCAGGGGGAGATGGGGTAACGGCACTCGCCATTGAAGGGTAGGCCAGGGTCAGGTATGTTCAGAAAGACAAGAATGACCTCACACGCTCCTGGTTTTCCTCCTCCCTTGGTTGCCTCAGTGGCCTCTCCCGTTCACCCCCATCATCTGGTCTAAATGCTAGAGTCCATCGGGGCCCAGTCCTCAGCAGCTCTGCACTTCCTCCTCTCACCCACACCCAGAGCTTTGAAAGCGCAATGTTCGTAATCCACATTGAATCTCCAGCCTCCAGCCCTGTATCCAGTTATTTGGCAGCTCCCCTTGATGTGCCAAATCACCTCAAACTCCGCGTGACCCAAGTGGACTTCATGGTCTTCCTCCCACTTTTCCTAAAATCCCTCGGTCCTCTCCATTCTGTGTCTCAGAAAATGGCACTACCTCCCATGTAGCTTATAAACCGAAAATTTAGGATTCTAGGCTAATCCCTCTTCCTCACCACCAGCCCATGTACAATTGACCCCCAAGACCTAGGGATTTTACTTGTTAAGTGTCTTTGTTTCCCTTCGCTTCCTCCATCACTTCCTCCTCCACCTGAATCTCAGCTTTCGTTCTCTTCTTGGAGCTACCACGGCCACCCACCGGACAGGTCTCCGCACGTCCAGCCTCTACGCTACACTGCAAACCAGATGCCTTTTTAAACAAAATAAATTTGATCATGCCATTCACTTATGTAAACCCCTCTACGGCTTTCTCCTTTTAATTTAGGATAAGGACCCCAATCCTTAATGTTTCCTACGAGGCCCTGCATGAGTTGACATCTGCTCCCTTTCTGGTCTCATTTGGGGCCACTTTCCTTTTTGTCGCTCCAGTCTAGTCACACTGGCCTTTTGCGAGCTTCTTAAACCTCCCTTCTTAGGTCATCTGCATTTGCTATCCCCTCTGTCTAGAAAGCCCGTTCCCTCGCCTTCCCCCAATGCCCTCGCATCCCCGACTCCCCGCGCATGTTAACCTCATCTCTCGGGGGAAGCCTTCCTTGGCTTGAAGCATATCAGCACTGTCTAAAATTATATTGTTGTGATTAATCACTACCTGCCTCTCGCTATAGGCCGTCGGCTTTGTGAAGACTCGAACCTTGTTTGGCGTGTTATTAGATCCCTAACACTTAGCACTTTGGAAAATTGTTAGATACACAAAACCTATTTTTGAGTGACCGTAGGAGAATTTGGCAACCAGGAGACCAGTTAAGAAGAGGCATTGTAAGAAAAGGCATTCTCCCAGGGGAGAAATGAAAAGCGTCTGAATAAAGGCATAGTGGAGAGGGCGAAGAGATTGTAAGGAGGTAGGGTCTTTGGATGTAAACAATACAAACAGAGCATTGTCTCACCTAAGCAAAAAAGGGGTTTATTGAAAGGATAGAGGGAGTTCAAATTATAAAAGGATAATCTGAGGGAAGTCAGGGCAGAGATAGCAGGTAGAGGTGCAGAAACTAATTGAGGGTGATCACTACTGGAATAAGTCACTTCAGCCGTGTTTCAGACTTTATGTCGTTTCTCTCAAGATCTCAGGTCCAGGGAGAGAGAGTCTGACGGAGTACCCTCTGCCTGGAAGTCCAAGCAAGGCTACAATGCAGGGGATGGATAGTTTTCCACAGGAAAAGGTGAGCGTTGCTGATAAAGCAAAGGGGAGGGAATGATGCCAGCCGAATCCACTCACATCCACCTCCGGAGCATCAACAGACAGGACAGAATGGTGTGAACAAGGAGCCAAGGATAAATCGCAAGTTCCTGGCTCGATGGATGGTGGTACCATTAATTAAGGTGGAGAACACAGGAGGAGGGGCACATTATAGGGGGCAGAGGAATCTGACTTGTCCATCAGGTAGTGGTATGGCTCTGGACCTGAGGATTTAGAGATTTGGAAGTTGTCAGCCTCTCTCTACAAGAGAGAAAACCACAGGCATGAATGTGATGACTACGGACAGGGTGTTGAGTGAAGAGAGAAAAGAGCCATGGGTGGAATGCTAGGGAGTAGAAAAAATTAAGAAGCAGGGAAAGGGTGAAAGGCCAGGCAGGTGAGTGAAACATCTAAATGAGGCATACTGGCCAGTTGAGAAGTCAGAAGTCTTGAGCTTGTGGTTTTCGTTTTGATTTGCTTTTCAAAACAAGGTAATCTCAGCTTCTTCTCAGGAAAGCTGCTGTGACCATGAGGTTACCGCTAGGTGGGGAGCTAACAGGCTTCTTTTGTATTTTAGAGCTAAAAGGAGAAGTTGGCAGGTAGGGGAGGCTCAAACTTGTAAAGCCTGGACCCAAATGGGTAATTGAATAGGTTGGTGAAACAGTTTTGTTACTCAGCCACCGTAGCATCAGCCTCACCTGGGAGCTTGCTAGAACTGCCCCATGCCTGCCTAATAAATGAGAATCTGCAACTTAAGATCCCCAGGTAATTCATACCCACCTTGAAGTATGAGAAACATGGTTCTAAGGAGGGATGTTATGGAATTTGTGGATTTTAAGAGTTAAAGAGAAGGATGTCCCTATTCTTATGGAGTCTAGAGGACTTGGAGCAAAACTCAGTGCAATTTCATGGTGAAGAGAAGATGGACCTGGGCCCACGCAATTGCAACACCTGGTGGGGCTATGGTTAGGGTTAGGGGTTAGGGTTAGGGTTAGGGTGGGTACTAATGAGGACTGGGTACTAACTTAGTGACCTTGAGAACTTCAGTGAGTGGCTCTGTGGCTGACCTAGCACCAGGGGAATGGAGGTTCTTGCTCTACAATGAACCACACTTGCCTGCCAGGAGCAAGAATGGGTATCCGCCTCGGGTTGCATGAACCCTCGGGTGACTGGTAGACTTAACAGTTAGATCAAGGATAATTTCCAGTGAATTATGAAGTAAAAACCAGATGGCAACAGTCAAATTACAAATGGATGACGAGAAAATGTAACCAATGTGCACAGAATCAGGAATTTAGGAATTTGCCTACAAAGATAAGGAAACAGGGGTCATGGCAAGCTAGAGAGGTAAGGCAGACCAAGGATGCTTGTTTCATTTTGTTTATGAGGAGCATATTTAAGTACTTAGAGCTATGAGATCAGTGAGGGAAAGGTGGTTGCTTGAGGGAGGTTCCAAGACCCTTACCAACGGTGGGAAAGGATAATTATAGGCATATATAGAAGTTAGACTCAGTGGGGCTTGTGACTGGTTAGATACATGGAGGTGTGGGAGGGGGCAGTTAATTTCCCTAGTGTCGACTCCAAGAGAGACAGTGAAGTGCAGAAGGGATAAATATTACTTCAAGGGTGAGGCTGTGGCTTGGAATCGAATTTAGGAAGATATAGGCACTATTTTTTAATGTTCAAGAAATAGAACATTTTATTAACGTCCTCTATTCCAGAGCAAATTCTGGCTGTATTATCTTAGAAATGGAGGAAGTATAGGAGGGAAATACTCGACTTGGAGTCAGAAGTCCTAGATTCCCAGCCTTTAATGTGGCCTTAGGGGAGTTATTTAACATGTCTGGCTTGTATTCCCCTCATATACAGATCTTCTACTTACAATAGGGTTACATCCCAATAAACCCATCACGAGTGGCAATACCGTAAGTCAAAATGCATTTAATACACCTAACCCACCGAACATCAGAGCTTAGCCTAGCCTAACTGTCACATGCCCAGAACACTTACACTAGCCTGCTGTGTGCCAAATCACAAAACCTATTCTATAACCAAGTGTTGAATAGATCATGTAGTGTATTGAATGATGTACTGAAAGGGAAAATCAGAATGGCAGTATGGGTACAGAATGTTTGTCAGCGTTCCACTGTTGACCCTCATGACCGCACGGCTGACTCACTGTGGCTGTGGCTCACTTCGGCCACTCAGCGTCACACGAGAGTGTGGTGCCACATATATGGAGCCCAGGAAAAGATGCAAATTCAAAGTCCGGTTTCTTCTGAATGTGTATCATTTTCCCACCATCGTAAACGAAAAATCGCAAGTTGAACTATCCTTGAGGACCATTGGTATATTAATGTGATAGAAACAGTGGTATTCCATGGGTGGGGCAGAGGGAGTGGTCCATCGTGATGCAGTTGATAAGGGAGTGTGCTTTGTCTGTAGAGAATTTTATTTTTTATTTTTTATTTTTTTTTAGAAAGAGAGAGGGAGTGGGGCACCTAGGTGGTTCAGTCGGCTACGTGCCCGACTTCAGCTCAGGTCATGATCTCACGGTTTGTGTGCGTCAGGCTCTGTGTTGACAGCTCAGAGCCTGGAGCCTGCTTTGGATTCTGTGTCTCCCTCCTCTGCCCCTCCCCCACTCGCACTCTGTCTCTCTTTCTCAAAAATAAACATTAAAAAATTTGAAAGAAAAAGAGAGAGAGCGCGAGGATGAGGAGTAGAGAGAGAGGGGGAGAGAGAACCTTAGGCTTCACATCCAGCATGGAGCCCGATGCAGGGCTCAGTCTCATGACCATGAGATCATGATCTGAGTCAAAATCATGAGTCAGATGCTTAACTGAGCCATCCAGGTGCCCTGAGAATTTTAAACCAATAATAAAATCCACTAAAGTCAGTCTGCTTTTTGTCATCACCAAGTGCTGACAATTTAAACAATGTCAGTGATAAAATACTCCCCACTCTTGGTAGCTATAGGACAATATGCATTTCATGCTGGACTTCATTAGAGGATACGGGTGTGGCACATTACAAAATGCTGTAAGGTATAACTTTTAAACAATGTATGTATCTTTTTCAAGTTAATGTGACTTGTGAAATTTGGAGAGAGAATAGTAGTTCTATTTTCATTTAAAAAAGAAAGTACAGCTAATCTCTTTAATGTGTAGAAAATTTCTTGGTCATAGTAAGCTAGTGATGGTGTCATGTTTTGAAGGTAAGTGATTCTTTTACCACAGAATTTTATAGGAGATGAGTAGAAAACATTAGTTTTTGTATAATAGGGAAGTTAAGAAAATTAACTATAAAGTTATAAAGCTATGAAGCCTTCATTTTGGTCAAGTAATTCAATCACAGACTTAACCCGATGACAAACCACTTAAAAGTAATCACTTCAGTTTCTGTATGCTCAGAAAAAAAAATATATATATACTATTGCTTATCTCACAGGTCTCTACTGAATGTTGAGAGCATCACATATTGAATAAGTCTTTCATACTTCTTTTTATTTTTTTTTTCATTTTTTTTAACGTTTATTTATTTTTGAGACAGAGAGAGACAGAGCATGAACGGGGGAGGGTCAGAGAGAGAGGGAGACACAGAATCCGAAACAGGCTCCAGGCTCTGAGCTGTCAGCACAGAGCCCGACGCGGGGCTCGAACCCACGGACCGCGAGATCATGCCCTGAGCCGAGGTCGGCCGCTTAACCGACTGAGCCACCCAGGCGCCCCGACATACTTCATTTTATAGTGACTGAAAATGATCAAATTTTATTTTTAACAGGCTCACAGACAAGTAACTAGCAAGAATTAATAGTTAACATTTCTTTCAGGTTTTAAATCTACCTGGCATTTAATTGGTAGAGTATGAAATGATTCATTGATTTCCACTGTGTTTATAATGCAGTAAACAAGCCCTCTTGTAAGAACCTTAACGATACAGCCAAAGTCTGATTATTGGTATTCTCACATCAGCTTATGGCACTTCAGCCACCTCGCTGGAGGAGCGGGCCTTTGCAGCAGAGAGAACATCCTGGCAGCAGCTATAACATCTGCCCGAAGAAGCTGACCCATCCCAATCCTTCCCAGGCTATGTATGCTAAGTGCTGAGTACCTTATAATAATCCACCTCCCTTACATCCTGCTCGGAGAGAGGATATTATTTTACTCAAAAACTGGAAGACTAAAACAATGAACTTGTAAGAGGCATTGTTGTGAGGGCTACAATTCAAGCTATTATTATCCAACGAGCATCTAAAACAACATACTGTAGTAACTAGCAGAGAATAGCATTTTAAGACTAATAAGGACTAAGGTAGTAATTTTACCTGACAGGTTAATGACTAGAAAAACATTCTGAATTTTCAGCATTTTGTAAGCTGACAAAGGTGACATTCATACCAATGACATGTGCAAATATGAGGTATAATGATTACATTTAGTCACAGAAGTACTATTTTAGAATGAATGGGACTTGGCTTACATGTACAATGTGGATATCGTTTTCCATAGAATTCAGAAAGAGTGCTGAAAAGTCACAGAAGTCACTGGAGAAGGAATCCATCCCTCAGTGGATCATCATTTTCCACTATAAAACTTGCTGTACCTGTATAATGGGCTTGCCCAGATACTTCCACTATAACAGCTTTGAAATCCCCACATGTTGCTTCCTGAGAAAAGATGAAAGGAGTATAATATCAAAATACTGCACTTCTGTTGTGTCTGGCCTAAAAGTCACATTCTTGACTTTTATCATTTTAAAGAAAACCCAAGGTTCATCTTGTAGGTCATAGAAGGTTTTTAAGGAGAGAGACATGATCAGATTTGTGTTTTACAGAAGTTAACCTGTAAAATGGAAACAAATCAGAGAGGAAAGCAATTCGAAACCTAGAAACCTCTTCAGAGTAACCTTCTTTCATTGATGGACTCTAGAGTCACTAGGGTAGTTTTTAGGGAGGCTGGAGAAGAACGTAACAGATACTTTGCAGGTGTAACTGGCGGGCATGAGGACTCACAAATGGGAGGTGAGGAGTATACATGAGTTAAACATGAGTGTAGTTCCTACTTGGAAGTGAAGCAGATACTCCCATTAACCAAGACGGAATGAGACAGGAAGAGCACATTTAGGAAGGAAGGAAGAACTTTTTGACAAGATGACATATCTCTGGGACTGTCATTTCCATATGAGTTTGGTGGACAGTTGGGAATATGAGTGTTAGACTCAGGAGAGAGGCCGGCACACGGTGGGCATGGGAGGGATGAAGGTTCAGGAATGATCATCAGTGGGGTGGTTGGGAGTTGAGGCCTCCAAAGTGGGTAAAATTACCCAGTGGCATCAAAATGCAGATGAGATGAAAAGGAAACTAAGGATGAAATGCTGGGGAGCAGAGGAAGCTGAGGCAGGGAAAGAGACTGAGAAGGCACCATCCAAGAGCTTGGAAGAGCCCAGACAGAGAGGGAAGGCATGTGGTGTGAGTGAAGATATCCTGTCAAGTATGATTACTAACTAGAAAGAAAGAACTCCAAATGTTAACTACCGAGTATCTTTATTATTTCTTAATTTTTAAACATGAGAATAACTAACTCTTATGATAAGATGTCAATCATTAGATTAGGACACAGTAGTTTCATTATCTTTTTATAAAGCTGCTATAATAAAAGCCTCATTAAAAATTTGCTTTGTCCAATAGCAATACAGTAGTGCTTAACAGGGCACGGTCTACACAGAGAGGTCCACATTCAGAGTCTGGCTCTGATAATCCGTTAACTGTTTGACCTCTGGCAAATTACCTAACCTTTCGAATCCTCCATTTTATCATCTGTTTAAAAAGGATAATAACAGTACTGACTTGCCAAGATTCTCACGAGGATTAAATGAGATGGTACGTATAAACTGCTTAGCGTGGAAATTAACATATAGTGAAATTAGCTATAGACTTGAAGACAATGTGCATGTCTGCTTTTGCATTCAGTCAGCTGGGATGTCACCCATCATATGGCCTCTGGAGAGCTCCACTATACACCCGTGGGGCAGTGAAAGTGAAAAGCAAATAATGTCTTTGTATTAATGCATGCTAAGTTTTGACCTTGTGGACCCTTAGGAAGGAACTTGGGGGCCCCTAGGGATTCCAAACCACACTTTGAGAACCAATATCCTAGCTGAACAGAAGTTTTTATAGGCCTGATTTAAAAAAAAAAAAATTTTTTTTAAATGTGTGTTTATTTTTGAGACAGAGCACGAGCAGGGGAGGGGCAGAGAGAGGGAGACAGAGGATCTAAACAGATTCTCCACGCTGACAGCAGAGACCCCAATATGGGGCTTGAAGTCATGAACTGCGAGACCATGACCTGAGCCAAAGGTGGACACTTAACCGACTGAGCCACCCAGGTGCCCCTAAAATTTTTTTCTGAGAGCTGAGTGAAGAACCTTCCCTAACAGGGAACTCAGGCCTCTTCAGTTTCAAAAGTCACACACTTACAAATAAGAAGCTAAGGGTGTTACTTACCCTGACAGCCTTCCCTGTGAATACTGAGCCGGTTGCACTACTTTTAAAGGCTCTGGTCTGGTTCAGTTCTAGAAGCCCTTTGTGATACTGTAAGGCAATTCGAGCTGTCACTCCTGATCCAGTAGGACTTCTGTCAACCTGTTTCATAGTAAATGAAGATAAGAGCATTCACAGTGTTCCAGTTCCACACAATCTGGCTTTTGTGGCAAACGTTACAGTTTTAATACCTGTTCATCTGCAAACACACAGATGTTGGTGGTTGGTTCCTCACTGTAAGTGTCTTTTCCATCTGTTAATATAGTTCCATACAGAAAGGAAAGGTCTTCACTCTCAGGATGATTAATTTTAAACTGAAAATAACAACAACAAAAAATTATCATGTAAAATTGTCAAGTAAAATAAATATTTTGATTCAAATTTATCTTAATAAGTAATGTAGAGGGGGCACTCTTAGGCATAACTTTTCAATCTTTGTCATTTTTAAAATACCTCTTGGGTCAGGGCAGTAAATGATGTCTTTGTGTAGATGAATGCAAATAGTTTTATTGGAAGTTACGGTTCTTATCATTCTTTGAGTCCTTTCTAAGGTATTTGTCCTGCAGATAGCCTCTACTAAAGGAACAGTTCTATTTATACACACACACTCCAAATGCTACACTCTTTGAAATACTGACCCCAGGATGGTTAATCCACAGACTGGCCATGTTTGCTCAAACAGGAGAAGCTAAGACAGTCAGTCATATGCTCACTCTCAGGAGTTTGAAGGGGATAATGTAGAAATATCAGACAATAAACAGCTAGAGCTGAAGTTATTACCACGGGCAGAGACAAGGACCTGGAAGAGAGGCCACGAGCAAGCAAACGTTGTAACAATGCAGAAGCTATTAGGTAAGAGAAATGGTTGGATGAGAAAAAAGATCTACTGTAAAGGATGAAGTCAGTTGGTATTATAAGAAGCAGCAGATACACAGAGAAGGAGGCGCCTGAGTGGTAAAGGATGGTCAGGCCCGAACATGCAATGCTTTCTGTTCTTAGGAGGTCTAGTTGAACTTTTCCTTGGTTTCTCTAATGCCTATTAGATTTCAAACCTGTAGCACCATTACATCACACTATTCACAGGTATGGTCCCCCCACTAGACCCCCACTCCTTAAAAGTGGGTTTGCTCTTCCTTCGAATCTCTAGCATCTAGCATAGCATAGTCCGACTCAGTAAGTTCTTGGCAAATGTTTGTTAAAAGAATGGATACACCTTTATAATACAATGAATATTACACTGTGCTTTAACTAACAGGAATTTAAGTAAAAACTTAAAAAAAATAAATGAAGATGAATTTTTATTAACTTCAGCCCCCACCAAAATGGCCTTTCCCTAAATCTGTATCAGCAGCGTGAATGGTCAACAATTCGGAAAGTAGCTCCGATGCCTGATTTAACACTAACAGATGATGCTATGGTTGGTCATCTCATATGTGATTCTCTCCTATTTTTCTTAGAATCCCTCCTCCCTCAAAGGCCACCCCTTGCCACCTTGGAGAGAAGTTAAAGCTTTAATGAGAAGTTCAAAATTACTCCTTTTATTAAGAAAACTATGTCTTGTGGTGCCTGGGTAGCTCAGTTAAGTGTCTGACTCATGATTTTGTCTCAGGTCATGATCTCATGGTTGTGAGATCGAGCCCCGCATCCAGCTCCGCATTCATTCTTAGTGAAAAGAAAATTGATATAAATTCAGAGCTTCAGAAGGTGCTATGATAAAATAATTCTAGATACTAGTATTGACAGTCCTGGAAAAATGACAATTTAGAACAGGAATACAGTATATATTTTCATCTTGTTTAAGTTATAAATTATGTTATTAAAGTCTCAGGTATGTTAAATAGGCCCATAATATTATTAGAATATTAGAGACTTTTTCACAAATTATTTTTTTCCTTAGAATAGTAATTCTCATATGCTAAAACATTCAAATACTGTATATGAGTTTTACAGGTCCCAATTTTATTTTATTTTATTTTATTTTTTTACAGGTCCCAATTTTAAATGTAAAATGGCAGGCTTATGCTAGAAATGAAAGAATATTCTAGACTTATTTATCATCCAAGCTGATTTTATCAGAATAGTTTTCCCAAGCCAAAACTAGACTGACTTGAGTAGTTATTTAGGTAACTTCTTAGCAATATGGGAGAAATTCACTAATTAGGAATTACTGTTCTCTGTGAAATGAAAGAATGATCAGATTTAATGAAATCTATTTTGTAAGCTATAACTGACATTATTTTTAAGTTTTGCAGAATGACCACGTATAGCAAAGCATATGCATTTCAAGTTAGTGAAATACTATTTGATACATTTCCTATATGTGTAAATAATCACAAATTATACTAGTATGCATATAAAGTTATTTATTGAACATATATTCTAGGTAGGTACCATTCTAAGTCCTTTACACGTATCGAACTTACTTCATTCTTATAACACCCGACGAAGCAGGTATTTCATAATTCCCCTTTTACGAGAGGAAGGTTATGTTACTCTTTCAAGGTTACAAAAGTCACAAGTGGCAAAACTAGGACTCCTAGATAGTCTTGCTAGAGAGCCCAAGATTGTAACTAGTACCTTATTCTTAGTACTTCTAATAACCTAAATATATAAATATTTAACTTTCTGTATAGGGACGTAATTTATACTCCCTCCGTGCCACAGAGGAAGGCATTTGTTATGCAAGCAGTGTTTGTACTGACCTGAGCTTTGACTGCTTCCGTCACTGCACTTGCTGCAGCCACAAGGTCCCTTGTCTTTGCAGAACGAACATCAAGTCCTACCTTTTCAGCACTAACAAATGCATAAAACGCCCCACCATATGCAATGTCTACCACCATCTTTCCACGACCAGGAACATCCACTAAGAGATCTAAAAAAGATGTGTTTGAAAAGAAGTTTGCTTTTTAGTATTTTGGCAGGAACAGTTCACAGCATTTTTAATATGTGTGTTTTGGTGGAGGGGTGCTTTTTCCTATCATAAGAAGGAATGAAACAAAAATTTATTTTCAAAATAAGCATCAGATAAAAGACTTTTAGCTAAGTGCATCTATTTGTTCTATGTCTTTTATTAATTAATTAATTAATTTATTATTTTTATATAGAATTTATTGTTAAATTGGTTTCCAAACAACACCCAGTGCTCATCCCAACAGGTGCCCTCTTCAATGCCCATCATGCACTTTCCCCTCTCCACTGCCCCCCATCAGTTTTTAAGAGTCTTCTTATGGTTTGCCTCCTTCCCTCTCTGTAACATTTCCCCCCCCCTTCCTCTCCCCCTGGTCTTAAGTTTCTCAGGATCTACATATGAGTGAAAACATATGGTATCTATCTTTCTCTGCCTGACTTATTTCACTTAGCATAATACTCTCCAGTTCCATCCGTGTTGCTACAAATGGCCAGATTTCATTATTTTTCATTGCCAAGTAGTATTTTATTATATATATAAATCACATCTTCTTTATCCATTCGTCAGTTGATGGACATTTAGGCTCTTTCCATAATTTGGCTGTTGTTGAAAGTGCTGCTATAAACATTGGGGTACAAGTGCCCCTATGCATCATTAAGTGCATCTATTTTTAACTTGACAATGCTTGCATAAGTTTTAGAACATCTAGTGCCATGTTTTTCTTAAATCATGTACACTTACTTTATAACTGCTCTGAGGATCTTTGCTAGGAAACCTTAAAGAGGCAGAGAGAGCAGAAATTCTGGGACATCAACATGTGAAAACTATGAAGGAAAATGTAAGTCCCTTTTCATACTATGAGAAATTGTTTAAAATAGGATTTTGGATCCTATTCACAAACTGGCTTTCTTCAACTGTAATGTCAAAACAAAATGAAAAAAAGAGATTTTTCTATTTAAGTTATATCTGCTTATTCTATGTATTTTCATCTCATGATGAAAATCTACGTATTTTCATCTCATGAAAGCATCCTGCAAATACTCAGAATAAATCCATTTTAGAATCACTGCTGATGCTTACAGTATCTTTTGTGTCAGAGTTTTTGAGTATTCTAAGCCCCTGGCATACCCAGTTTCACCCGAAGGTCAGTTGTTTGAAATCCTAAATTGGTATTCCCCAAGGAATGGAGCTGGATGATATTTGGAGATACTAAAACTGTTTTACCCCTTCTTGCATTTTCCTCTCTCCCTCCTCCCCAGTTCATTCTGGCTTGGTGATCATTGCCTTTGGGGGAGGCGTATGTCAGGGGAGAAAGCAGGTTTTATGGAAACCTAAGATCTCAGGGGAGAGAGGTTTGTTGGCAAAGCAGTATTCTGAAGGGGAAATACTTCTCCTGGTTTCCTCTGGAGTGAGAAAAGAGGCAGCAGGTCCTCAGTGCAGAGGACCTATGTTGACTTCCCCACAGCATACAGGGAGGCTACAGGGTGTGACAGAGATAGCAAAAAGGAGGGGAAGCAGGGGCAGGAGCCACATGGACAGGGGTAGATTATGCTTCGCTGGTTACTTGTGCAGGCTGATGGCCAAAAGGCCCTCCTCTCCAAGGCCTTGGCTCTTCTAAGAAAACTTTGCTACACATATAGCAGGAAAGGGGACACCACGTGGAGGGATGAGGCTAGGCAAATCCAACAAGGCAGAGTAGGGTCTCAAAATCAGACATTGTGAAAAATACAATGTTTATTATATTCCTTAGTTTGCACACTGAGTCATACAAAGATACTGGTATGCCTTCAGTTCCAGGCTAGCCCACAGAGCCCCTTTTGACACGTGATGTGTCAAAACAGAGCAAGTTGATAATCAAATATGCCTGCGGAACTTAAAAGCAAACACGAATGAAAAAGTTTTTGTCTTTATCGTGATGCTGGTGCAACACAAAAGGCAAACTTAACGAAAAGAGAATGAGGAAGTAGATGGAAATGAAGGACGGCTGGAAAGCTAAGCGTGGCTTTGGTGTCCTCGTGTGTAAAACAGAACTGCTATTCCACCCTGAAAGGACTGTTTTGTGAATTCCATGCAATAATGTGTGGGGAGTGCCTGGCACAAATCAGGAACATAATAAATGTTGATAGTAAGGTCAAAAGGTTCATTTCCAGTGGGAAGAGGGCTATGAGGGGGATGTTTACATTTGCTAATCACCATGTTCTCTCAGTTTCATTTATTTACTTCTTCTACAAATATTAATTGACTACCTACTGTTCTAGCACTTAAAAAACCAGTTTTCATTTTAGCTGAAGGGAGTGAAAAAGAACTCAGTGGTCCTCTAAGGTGGGTACTGTGGTCATCTTCATTTTGCAGATCATGACTTGGAGGCATTGAATCCCTTTCACAAGGTCATCAAGATGGGGAGGGGCAGAGCAGTGATCTTGAACCCTGTCCACCCTTTTTGTATTTTTCAAAGTAGAGAATTTAGCATATTTTTTTAATGACTCAAAGGGACCATTAGTGCCCACTGATTATTGTATAGTCACACAGTGATGCTCTTGGGAGCTATTGTGCTTATAGATTGGCTGTCCTGCCCCAACCAGCCCCGAATGATGGTGAACTTGCTGCCAGCTGTCATTTCCCACAATTCTAGAGTGCTTCTAATCTGGTGCTGGGGTTGCCTGGGGAGAAACTGGATAGCCAAGCTACTTAAACTGCTGAGATTTTTGAGATACAATCTTAAACATCCACCTGTCTCAAGTGCCCTCCCAATTAGGATGTGATACCATTCTCTTGTAGAGGGCAAAAATGGCATACATTTCCCCCAGGGGAATTCTTCATCAACCTGTGTGTTTCAACTGCCTGCGGCTGCTCAGACTGGCAAATGCCTGCTCATGCCTGGGCTCTTACTGTATCATCCATAATCAGGCTAATCTAGAATCCAAATCCTCAAGAAAGATTAAGATCTAACAGAATGATTTGCATTCGCTGAAGACTTACAGGAAAGGAAGCGATAACCCTATTCCTGAATGGACTAAATTAGCTCTCAGCTCACTTCCAGTCATGACTATTTTGGAGAGATCTCCCTCTTTGTAAGGGTTATAGTTACACACACTCTGACTAGGCTCTGTGCTAAGGAACCCACCAAAAACCTTTTAGAGGCTCAGCACTTGTAGAACTCTAGCAAACCTATATATTCTGCAGCCTTCTGTCTCTAGAAATGTCTTGTTAAATGCTAAGTACCTTGCATACTCTTATTTAATCTTCACCCAAAACTCAATGAGATAACAAATGAAAAAATAGGGGCACAGAGAGGTTAGTAATTTGATTAAGGTTGCATAGATAGCTTTAAGGGGTTGTCAGGATTTGGCCCCAGGCAACATCTGTTCCTGTTCTTCAAGAGTAAGAGCAGCAACATCTGTAACTTCCCGATTTGTAAATTGCCTAATTCATTCGTTGTTATTTAATTCTTTTCCAAGGAAGTGGAGAAGGCACTTGTATGTACAGGTGAGGAAAAGGAGACAGGGTTTAGTAACTTGTCAGGGAGTAATAATGTGTCTCATATGTGTATTCTTAACGAGCCAATGAACCCTGGTACATTGGCTGTTCTTTGCTCTTTCTAACCTTATGAGACTTACCCAACCGTGAAGTCTCTAGGAATGCCTGACAGTGAGGAGTGAGGCCCCGAGTAAGGGAGATACGGAATTCTGTACTCCTCAAGGCTCTCCCAAGACCAAGATGAATAAATCTGCGGGATAATCGAATTGCACACACCGCACAAATCCGCAAGGCTGACACGCATTTGATTTGGAATTACCTTTTTATTAACTGCAAAGGCATGAGAGTGTGTTAATTGCTATGCGTGGGTTCCAGGCCAGAGAGGCGGTTAGTGGTGTTAGTTGCGTCCCGGAGCTGGGAGGGTGTCGCCGTTTACCTGTGGCCAGCGCGAAGGCCGGGACGCTGTGGAAGCGCACAGGGCCGCGACTGCGGCCGCCCTCGCATTCCACGAAGGCGGCCACCAGCCCGCACGGGCAGTGGATGTTGACGCGGGCCTCGCGGGCAGCGGCAGGGGGCGCGGGGACCAGCCCGAAGTCGACTGCGAAGCGGCCCAGCGCCAGCACTGCGTGGCCGCACATGGAGCTGTAGCCCTCGTTATGCAGGAACAGGACGCCCAGGTGCGCGTCCGGCAACTCGCTAGGCACCAACACGGCCCCGTACATGTCCCGGTGCCCGCGTGGCTCGAACATGAGCCGTCGTCGCAGGTGGTCAAGGTGCTGGCGCATGTAGCGCCGCTTGGCCAGTAGTGTGGGGCCGACCACTTCCGGACACCCCGCCAGCACGATGCGCAAGGGCTCGCCGCCCGTGTGCATGTCCACCACCGACAGCGCCGGTGTCCCCGGGTCGTGCGGCGGCAGCCGCGGCACCGCCAGCGCTCTCTCCATCGCTAGCGTCCAGGAGCTCCACCACGTATCCGCCGGACGCGCTTCCAGCCGCGAGCCCGCCCGCGCACTCCGCGCGCGAGATAGGGTGGACGTGCGGCCGCCTCGGGGGCGGGGCCTCAGAGCGGAGACGAGGAAGCGCGAGGGGGCGGGGCTTCGGCGTGGTGGGGCGGGGCGGGGCGGGGCTTCGGCGTGGTGGGGCGGGGCGGGGCTTCGGGTTGGTCGCCAGGGTTACCAGGAGGTGGGGCCGCCCTGGCTGCTGTGGCCCGGATGTCCGGGCGCCGCGAGCCGGGTGGCTGATTTCGGAGCTTCTTCAAGGAAACCTGCAAGCGGCCAATGGGTGAGTGGTCATCGAAGTCCGGGAAAGCGTTTGCCTTAGTCCCTGCTTCTTCCCCTCGCTGGCGCCTCTGGGCTCTGCTCCTGCGGGTGGCCTCCGGGTAGCTGCGCATCCTTGCCCCTTGCTCGCACCGCCCTCGAGCGGGCCCGGGACTCCTCCAGGGGTCGGGACGGTCTCGGCCCCTCTCGGGCTGCAGAGGAGACGTGCCGCTTGGGGGATGCCGGCCGTGTGCCAGGGCAAAGGCCAGGTCTTTGTTGTTCGGGAGGTCACTTCGCTGCCCTTGTTTTAGTTCCTTTGTGTAGCGTTCATGGCTGACTTAAGAATTTAAAGCGCGGGCGTTAGTGCCCAGAAAACATTAAAGGAAGCTGAAGCTAATTGCTGCCTAACTGTTGTCGCCCGCTTCAGCGTCAGACGTTAAGTTTACAGGGCCCTTCACAAAGCGGCAAGACCGTTGCAAAAGAAAAAAAAAAAAAGTCTTAAAATCTTAGCCGTCCTCCAGGAAAGGAGATGGGAGGGGCAATTGAACGGACACGGGGAGCCGCGGTTTTGTTTGATGGGTGATGAGCTGTTGTTGGTTTCAGTCAATCATAGTGGTTTTCAGGCCTTGGATTTGAAATACATACATATGTATTTATAAAACATCTAGGTGCAAAATCCACGTGGAAGAAGCCTCCATTCTTTAATTCTGTCTTCTCAAAAAATCTGAAACAATTCATTTTTTGTCTGTTAGTAATTTAGGACATAGTGATTACAATCGGTTAAAAAGTGCCAAATAAGGTAAAGAAGACCATGGATTAAAAAAAGTAAGTGTGATAAAAGTGACAACATTAAAGTTGGCAGACTTTTAGTCTGTGCTATTGCTATTGTTTCTCAGCACAAGGAGAAAAAAGTCAAATCTACTTGAATTTGAAAGGGGAAAGGACATAGTGGACCAAGCAGTCTCTAGAGTGTGAATTCATGAAGAATTTGGGAAATGGTTATTCAAGAATAGTGAAAGGAAGGAAAAATTCTTCTCTACCCTTAGGGTTTTCCAGCTGGGCTAATGATTAAACTCACATGAGACAGATTAACAGGAAAAAAACCTCAGAGTTTTATAACAAGTGTATGGAGAAACAATTATGAAATTGCAACCTAAAGAAATGACCAAGGCAGGGAGTTCTTATACGTTTTAGACAAAGAGACAATAAACTTGGAAGGAATTTACGGGTAAAGGAAAACAGATTTTGGGGCCAAGGTAGTAGGTTAGTAAAATAACAAGGTTTTCTTCTGCAGCTTTATTATCACTGATAATAAAGGCTGTCTTTTTGCTTAGTATAAGAAGGATATTTTTCGTATGGGAGGTTTGTTCCTTGCTTTCAGGAGAGAGGGTCGGAGTGTCCTTGCCCCCTTGTTTCTTAAGTAACATTTGTTTCAAATAATTGGTATGCCAAAGTAGCACATTTTGGGAACCTGCCCTTAGCCCCTGCAATGGTCATAAAATGCTTATTTTCCAAGTTGATTCATACTTGACCACAGGTGTTTAGGATTTATTCCTTAATATATAGTGCAGTATTGGTTTCAGGAGTAGAATTCAGTCATTTATCACTTACATATAACACCTGGTACTCATCATAACAAGTGCCCTCCTTAATGCCCATCACCCACCTCCCCTCCAGAAGCTCTCTGTTCTCTATAATTGAGTCTCTTATGGCTTGTCTCCCTCTCTGGTTTTATCTTATTTTTGCTTCCCTTCCCCTATGTTCATCTGTTGTATTTCTTAACGTCCACATATGAGTGAAATCATATGGTATTTGTCTTTCTCTGACTGACTGATTTCGCTTCTGGATTTACTCTACTCAAGGCTCTAGGTTCTTTGAGGGCAGGGACTCTTGTTATGTTGCTCTGTGGATCTTTAGAAGTCCCTAGCCAGGGAATCTGTGACTTAATGCATGTTTATTGAATGAATAAGTCAATGAACAAAGGAAATCTGATGAAAAAAACTCCTTTAATAACTTCTTCCTGCTGATGAGGTCACAGACAATCTGTAGACCCAGAGTTTTTGTTGTTTTGTTTTGTTTTTTTTTATAAAGAAGACCTGCTTTTTATTTTCCCTAAGCCTTGAGATCAGAGATTCTAAGGTAGTTGTTCCCAAATATTGGGGAGAGGCCCAGTGACAACCTTGATGAGATTTTCACCTGTCCTCGAAAAAAATGACAAAAGTTAGGACAATGTTGTAAGGTTTTTCCTAAAGGTAAATTTATTTATTTTAAAGGCCTGCCCTTTATTTCAAAGTTATGTATTTTCTGCTTTTCTGGTATTAAAATGTGTTCTATTATGAATGAAGGTGATATTTTGTGTGAACGAAAGGTGACGTGTGTGTGCATATGTGCACACTTACTGTTATGGCTGGGCCAAATGTGGGGTGGTGATTGTCTGTTAGTTTCCTGATTAAAAAATGGAAATGCAAAAGTCTAGACCATCTCATCAAGGGGGAGTAGCTCTTGGAGCCATTGGGACATACCGGGTTAAGCTGTTTTAAAAAATTTTTTTAATGTTTATTTTTTATTTTATTTTTGAGAAAGAGACAGAGCGTGAGCAGGGGAGGGGCAGACAGAGGGTGACACAGAATGTGAAGCACGCTCCAGGCTCCAAGCTGTCAACCCGGAGCCAGACGTGAGGCTTGAACTCACGAACCGCAAGATCATGACCTGAGCTGGAGTCTGACACTTAACTGACTGAGCCACCCTGGTGTCCCCCCCGTCCCCGCCTTGGGTTAAGCTTTGAATTCTGGGGATAGATCCCACTCAGCTGGCTGAGGGGTCTTAATCATAAGGAATAGCCTTAACATCAAAGTTTCAGTATAACTTTCTGCATTGTTACAGTGTAAAAGGAGAAAGTTAAGTTTAAATATAAGCGTATCAAGACTTTTGTCTAATGCGTATCATTTTTTAATTGAACTGTGTTGAGGTATTTCTGCTACGTGCTTCAGCTGTTATTACTCTTTTTTTTATAATCATAAAAGATGTTACTATACTGGCATTTGTTTTTAAAAAGCTGTCGATATTCAACCAGCATGCCTTGGACTTTACTGTGGGAAGACCCTATTATTTAAAAATGGCTCAACTGAAATATATGGAGAATGTGGGGTAAGTCTTAACATGTAATGTGTTATTTCATTGCTAAAATCTTTTTGCTTTTGTATTTGCATACATAGAATCTTTTTTTCTTCAGTATACTCATAAATTTATAAAAATATGAGGCATTAATAGAATTCTTATTTGTGTTGTCATATTGTCAACATATTGTCATTTTTGACAGTTGCAGTTAGTATTTTTTTTTAGTATCTTTTAATTTTATAGTAACTTTTACTTGTTATTAATGATATAGTACAGTGACTTGGGCAGTAAGTTAACATTAAAACTCCAGAACTTTTCTTTGCAATTACTTTTATATAGTGTTATTAACTAATCATTTAAAGTTTTAGTAATTTAGTAAAAGGAATTTTTTAGGTGTTACACAACTAAAACCAAATACAATATAGATTTAACTTTACTTAGGAACTTTCTTATTTCTAAAAGATGTACATGTAAACATGTTTAAACTGAAATGACTTTGGGATATCAATGTTCTAAAATAATATATGTACATAAAATATTGTTTTTATATTTTGTAGGTGTGTCCAAGAGGACAGAGAACAAATGCACAGAAATATTGTCAGCCTTGCACAGAGTCTCCAGAACTTTATGATTGGCTGTATCTTGGATTTATGGCTATGCTTCCTCTTGTTTTACATTGGTTCTTCATTGAATGGTACTCGGGGAAAAAGAGGTTAGCACTTTCTATGAATGTATCTGGATGGACTGATGTTGGAATAATCATTTAGAAGACCTTATTAAATAATTATACTTGTGTTGTTTTGAAAGTGGTAAAACTGTTTATATTCTGATTACATTTTAAAATTATTTATTTTTATATTGTAATTACTTTTTAAAAATGATTTATTTAATTTATTGTCAAGTTGGCTAACATACAGTGCTTACAGTGTGCTCTTGGTTTGGGGGGTAGGTTCCCATGATTCATCGCTTACATACAACACCCATTGCTCATCCCAACAAGTGGCCTCCTCAGTGTCCATCACCCATTTCCCCCTCTTCTCTGCCCCTCCCGTCAACCCTCAGTTTGTTCTCTGTATTCTGATTACTGTTGACTCTGGCAAGAAAGCTTAATGATAGGGCATGACTCAGTAATTATCTAGGGAGGTATCCTTTGTTTTAATGTTTAAATGATATTGAAGTAATACTTTTTTCATTTCTCAATTACAATCTTTATGGATTTTCTACAAAGAATTGGTTATGATTACAAACTGTGTATCGTAGAATACTTTGTGATTTTATTTAATCCTAGTAATCTAAAATGTAGTTAAAATGATATAACTGCCACCTAATTATGAAAACTCATACTAAAACATTAAATCAACAGACATTTATGGAGCACTGTGTTTTACGTTTAGATCAAGGGAAGAGGTACAGAAATAATTGATGTGGTTTATAGTCATAATCTTTAGAGAAGACAAATGTGTATACAACTAGTTATAATGTGATTCAGTCTTAAAAGTGTATAAACAAAAAGTGTATAAAAGCGTTAGAACAGGATGCTCTGGAATCACAAAGAGTAGAAGAGAGAAATTGTGCCTGGTGAGGTCTGAAAGACTTTAGGAAAACATTTTGGGTAGAGGAAGTAGCATGAGCAGTGGCACGGAGGGGTGAAATACGTGCTGTGTTGTGGGTGGGACTGGAAGTGGTTTGGGGTGGTCTGAGTGTGGATTGCACATGAAAGAAAGGTCATAAACAGGAGAGTGGGAAAGTAGGTTGAGGCTAGAATGTGAAGATTCTTGATGAGGATGTGGACTCTGTCTTACTGGGAATGAGGAGCCCAATTAGTACATTTCAGCCCTACTGATTTTTAGTTGCTCTAAATTCTTGGCATCTTTCCTTCCCCTTTCATCAGCTTTTCTCTGCCTCAAATACTCTCTTCCCTATGACTGCACCTTTTTACCTAGCTGCCTTTTTCCCTTCAGATTTCAGTTTAAATTACACCTAGTCATAGAAGCCCTCCCTTCCTCAATCTGCCCCCTCCCTTATTTTTCTTTTTTAATAGCACTCTTCATTTTGTTGTTTTTGTTTTGTATTTAGCACTCAGTACAATTTATGGTTGTGTTTGTCTCCTCCGGTCTCCGACTAGAAGGCCAGAGGGCAGTGGCAATCTCTTGTTCGCCATGGCATTTCCAGAGATCAGCTCAGCAGCTGTCTCATGACAGGTGCTCATTTAGTATTTACTGTGTGGATGATTTATGGGTAAAAGTTTTGGTTTAGAGAAGTAACATCACTGGCTGTATATTTATTTTAGGAAGGTAACTTCTATAGAGGGTAGATTAGAGGTGAGGCTGTTTCCAAAAAGTAGGGATAGCCAGACTCCAGTACTGTTGAGTGGGAATGGAATGAATGGTCCAGTGGAAATAGAATTAATAGTTTTCTGGATCCCTCCTAATAAATCCAGGGTGATTATTTATGTATTTGGAAAAGCGTTCATTCTTTTTCCGATGGCTGTGTAAAACGGTTTTTGAAAAAATAGCTCTCATCTTGCTTTTAATTTCTGTTATAGAACGTTGAGAGGTGAGGGTGAGAAAGGAGATGTGATCAACCGAAAGCTGAAATGGAATGATTGCTCAGCTAGTTGGCTGGAACTTCTTAGCCACAAGCAGGGAAGAGATGGGGGTGTAGAGATGCACCTCACCAAATGTATTTGCATTGAAACATCACGTATGTTTAGAGGGAGAGTCATGGAGCAGAGGGTGGGGTTTGGTTTGAGGGTAGAGTGGAGGAGTGATTAGTGCTTGGGGAAGAAAGGAGGTGGGTTTAAAAAGGAATTCGCATAACTTGGGTGTGCTTTGCCAGAAAGGAAATTGGAAAGGAAACAGGCTGCAAAGAACACAAGAGCCATGTCTTGCATTGTCCTGAGATGTTGCCCTCAGGAAAGGAAGCAGAGGCCCAGCTGTGTGAGGCTAGACCTTTTATTCACTCTCATTTCCTTAAGTAAAGAGCCTATTTGGATATTCTTTTTCTTAATTCCACCTACCCCCGTGAGACTTTAATATCATAGATAAACTGTTTATTTGTTTATGTCATGTATGCATATATGTGCTTTATATATAACAAATGTAAGATTATTTTATCCCCAGGACCTGACTCTTGACCTGCTAGGTGTGAAGTCATCCATTGAGAATGCATGGGCCAGACTCTCCTAGCAGCTTTCCTTTGTGGTAACCTTGTTTTCCCCAGAGTTTAGTATTAAATTTATTTTTCTTTAAGGCCAGAGCAAAGATCAGCAGAATTGCATATTTTTATGTAGTGCAGTCAGAAGTTGTGCTCCTTATGTAATTTTTTATAGAATTTGTAACTTTTAGAATGTATTCATTCAGCATCTCTAGGGATGTTTTCATGTGCCCAATGATATGCTGGGTTGTGAGATTCTGAGATGACTAAAATGCAGATGCTCATAGTCCAGTGGATGAGATAGACAAGCGGGGACAGTTTTTGTGAGTTTGTGTAATGGAGATATGTGCACAGTTTTAAGGTTGGCGTGAAGAAGGAAGAAGTTAATTTTGATTCTGAGAATAGGGTGGTGTCACACAAGAAAAAACTGACTTCAAGCTGGACTTTGAAAAGTGAGTAGTTTTTGATAGAGAAATTGAAGAAAGAGTCTATCACACAGCAGGAAAAACATATGCGAAAGGATAGAGGCAAGAAAGAGCACAGTATAATCAAGAAATGAGAGGTGAGGATCCTGTGAAAAAGTAGGGACTAAATGAGAGCAGGACATAAAGAGATGTGGGGCTTCAGGAGTCCTAGGAAATATGAGACCTGGGAATAATGCCAGAGCTGATCTTGAAGGATACACAGCTTGCCAGACAGGTGAGTGAAGCCTGCCCAGATGTGTGAAGGCTTGAGGAAAAAGGCATGTAGCATGGCCAGGAGGTGTGGAAGATAATGCTGGTAAAGAGTATTTTTCCTGAAAGACAGATGGGACTCCTTGAATAGTCTAATAAGGGGAGTTTTAGAATCAGATTTCATTTTGTAAAGATCATGTGGTTGGCTGCAGAAAGATTGAAAGGGAGCTTGATGGGAAGAAGTTACTAAATGATAGCAAGTTGGGGGGCTCAGTTGGTTACGCATCCAGCCCTTGATTTCGGCTCAGGTCATGGTCTCACAGTGTGTGAGATCGAGCCCTGCATCAGGCTTGCTATCCGCGTGGAGCTTGCTTGGTATTCTCTCCTTTTGTCTCTGCCTCTCCCTAACTTGTGCACACTTTCTCTCTTCCTCTCAAAATAAATAAACATTAAAAAATAAAGGAATAGCAAGAAATGATGAGATTGGGATGTTGCCTCTAAAAATACGAATTCTATAAGGAAGCAAAATATGGGATTATATAAAATGAAATTGTAGATGTTTATGTATTCATTGTTTCCCTATGTGTAAAATCACGTAGGAGTTCAGCTTCCAACAATATGGAGTAATAAGGGGCTCCAAGTGACCCTTCTGCAGGAAATAACTAAAATTTGAGAAAGGTATACTATTCAAGACATTGCTGGTCTCACTGGAAGCAGGGGAGATCTCCAAGAATTCTTTTAGAAAACAAACCAACCCATTCTAAGCGGGGGCCAGAGTAACAAAGCTGACTGACAGGATGGGAGAGCTGCCTGAGATTAACTGCTGATAGCTGCAGATACTGAATCTGAGGCAGCCAGTGCTAAGCCTAGACTCTCAAGAGGCTGAAGCCCAGTAGTGACGGGCATGCTTCTTGGCAAAAACAGCACATCCTCTTTGCTGGGAATCTTCCCCATTCTCAGTTTAGGTCCATAAGATTCTTGTTCATCAACATCTATTAATGACCTTGTATTGCATGGTAAACAAATAAGCTTTATGCCTGAGAGTTGGTAGACATAACAATATAGTTATGCTTCCAAAGGACTGTAGATAATGGACGTGAGACTATACAGTATAAAACTGCTATCTTTACAGTGTTAAAGAAATAAAGGATGCAGTCCCAAAGATCTCCAAGAGTCAACAAGAGATTGTTGGGAATGAATAAACAGATTTGTTTTAAAAACAAAAGGAACTTCTAGAAATGAAATTTGAAAAATGATAGGTCGATCAGTTGAAGATAGAATTAGTGAATTAGGAAATTGATATGTCTAAAGGAATAACAATACAGTGCTGAAAGAAAAGGATATAGAAAATAGGAAACATATTAAGAGAAATGGAGCATAGAATGAGAAGCTATAACATATGTCTGTAATACCTGCCGGGAATCCACCTAGGCTCAATTAAACATTCAGACTTAATGTTTTGAGGTCATACCAAGGAAGCACCAGTGGACCCAGAAGGAACAGCTTGCCCCCAGGGCAGTGTCAGCTTTTGAAGCAATTGAGCTCAGCTGTAGGAAGTTAAAATCCACATCGAGTGGTTGTAGGAGTCCAAGCTTAAAGTATTATGCCTTAGAGGAGCAAGTCTTTCTGTAACATGACCATAAGTATGGTTTCCAGAGTCCTGTAAGGGACATCCCAATTATGGGAATCGCTAAACTCAAGAGAGCCAGACTGTGGTGTCCCCATCATGTATTTATTGCTCATTTATAGTTCTCTCCAGTTCGGATGTAGTTTGCCAGTGAAGAGGTTGTGTGTATCCTAAGTAATGTAACCTAGCAGTAAAGTTGACATTCTGCCTTTATCAGGCTTCCAGAGGAACAGAGGTAGAGTTAAGTGAAGGTCAGTCTTGTGTACAGGGGGGAAAAGGTTTTATTAACTCTGCATAGTTTCTAATCAGAGTCTTCAGAAAAAATAGAGAAAATGAAGGAAAGCCAGTATTTATCTATTAACTTTAGGTTTTATAGAAATAGTGAAAAACAGATTTGCAGAATTGCTTCTGGGGAAGCAAAACACATTCTAAGCAGAATAAGTAAGAAATTCATACCTGTCCACATTATAATTAAACCTCAGAACATCAAAGATAAGAGGCCACTGGTGCTCTTGTCAGCAGCCAGCTTTGTGCTCACAGCTGGCAGCTAGCATCTACTCCAGCCATTTGAGTTCGTCATTTTGAACTGTGCAGCCCGGTCAAGGCTCTAGATGAGTACATCCCAATTGGTATTACACGGAACAGAAAGGACTGCTCAGGTGTGCCCAAACCACAAACTGGCGAGAGATAACCAGTGGTGCTGGTTTTAAGCAAAGAAGTGTTGTTGGGATAGTTTGCTATGTAGTGATAGATAACTGAAATATTGTTCAGATGGAAAACTCAAAGGCATCTGTAGAATAGTTAATAGAAATAAGAGAGTTTACTTAGTAAAGAAGCCGGCTGTAAGGGAAATATACAGGATCAATGATCTCCCTATAGTTCACGTATGGTACCATAGTATTGTGAGACAGCTAAGACCAAGGTAGCTAAGCTACATTGGACTCCTATGGTGGTCCCTGACAAGCTAATTCTAAAATCTCTATGGAAGTGCAAAAGCCCAAGAATGGCCAAGACCACTGAAGAAGTAGAAGAACATATGTAATATCAAGAATTACTGTCATATTCTCTTGCCTCAGGGATAAATGGACCATAGGAACAAAATAGCGAACCTAAAAACAGTCCAGTTACATATGAAACTTGTATGGCAGAAGTGGCATGGCAGTTAGGGCGGGGGGGTGGGGGTGTAGGGTAAACTACTCAGTAAAAGGCTACTCCTGGGACCATTGGATATCCAAGTGGGAAAATCTAATCTACTATATATATATATATATATATATATATATATATATATATATATAAAATACAGAAATCTATTCTAGGTGAGTCACAGATTTAAATGTGAAAGTAAAACCTTCAAACTTTTAGAAGAAAGTATAGGATCATTTTTCTCAGAGTGAGGATTTCTCAGAACATGAAAATGCTAACCAGAATGTTAAAAATTATTAAAGCCAATTACATCAAAATTTAGAACATCTGTTCGTAAAGATTCCACAGTAGAGTGAAAATTCAGCTCCTAAACTGAGAGGAAGGCATTTGCAACATATTTGACTAAAACAAATGGATGAACAGTGGAATGTGCATAGTAGTGAAAATGCGTAAAGCAGTGAAAATGACTGAACTTCAGGGGCACCTGGGTGGCTCAGTCGGTTGAGTGTCCGAGTTCAGCCTTGGTCATGATCTCACTGTTCCCAAGTTTGAGTCCCCCACATTGGGCTCTGTGCTCACAGCTCAGAGCCTGGAGCCTGTTTCAAATTCTGTGTCTCTGTCTGTCTCTCAGCTCCTACCCCACTCACACACTCTCTCTCTCTCTAAAAAATAAACATTAAAAAAAGTAAAATGACTGAACATCTATAAGCAATGCCATGGGTGAATCTTGGAAATGTTATTTTGAATGGAAAAAAAACACCTCAAAAGACATATCACTTTGTAGTATTTAAAAATAAGCAAAACTAGACGAGTGGTTTTGAAGCATAATCTAGTTGGAATAAAAACTTCAAAAAAAGTGATAAAGAGAATTTAGTATGATGGTTACCTCTTGGGGGAGAGCCAGGAGTGGGAAATGGGGAAGGAACAGAGGTAAATAAAAGCTGTTAATGTTCTAATTACTGGGTTAAATTATGAGCTTATAATGTTTATTATACTTTATAACTAATATATATTATATATAATCTTTTGTGTGCTTTTTATATTTAAGATAATTTAAAATGATGCATAGATAACTAAGACATTTTTAATAATAGTTTGGCAATATACTGAATATAAAGGAAGATCTAATTTCTGCTTTTCTATATACATTTAGATAATCCTGGCACAGTGTTATCTGAGATGATGATTTCTTTTTAGTAAAGAAGGTTAAATTCTCCTCAAGTGGTTCTCATGTTCGACTTTTCTTACCTGTTTAGAAGATATTTTCGTTTCAGGATTTATCAGTTAAAATTTCCTTTTAGAATCTGTATTTTGAAACATACGGGTATTCTTAAAAGCCATTTAAATACTGAAAATTTTCTGGTAATTGTGCTTCTTTTGTTTTATTAGTTCCAGTGCCCTTTTCCAGCACATCACTGCATTATTTGAATGCAGTATGGCAGCTATTATCACCTTACTTGTGAGCGATCCGGTTGGTGTTCTTTATATCCGTTCGTGTCGAGTACTGATGCTTTCTGATTGGTACACAATGCTTTACAACCCAAGTCCCGATTACGTTACCACAGTGCACTGTACTCATGAAGCTGTCTACCCACTGTGAGTATTTATATAGACTTAAGATCATTTTAAAAATGATAATTATAGATTGTATTCAGTTCAACAGATTGAGCATCGAAAAATGGCTTCTAGGCACTGGGGGAGATATACAGAAATGATTTTCTTCTCTTAGGGATACATAGTCTGATAGAAGGAAACAGAAATACATCTTAGTATAATACAAGTCAAAGTATTTTTGTAGTTGGTGTTGAAGTGTGTAAACCATTTCTAAAATAAGCCATAGATGTTTCTTTAAAAAGAATTCTTAGGAAGACCTTTAGGATATGCAGCAGAGAAGCAATATCTGACATAGAGGAAAGAGTATGGGTTCCGGAGCTAAAAACAGGCTTGAGTGTGAATCCCGAGCTGCTGTGGTAACGTGACCATGTTAAGAGCCTCTTGTAACCTCAGTTTTCCCATTGCTAGAAATGGGAATAATGTTATAAGGTGATTGGGAGGATTAAATAAATCTACACGTATCAGATACCACGTGCAGTGCCTTACGTACAGGAAGCACTTAATAAAATAGTAGCCGGCATTAGGAGAGTGCCGGAGTTAATGTTCCTTGTTTTTTTTTCTGAAACAGATGTTTGTAATTTCCGTGAGAATATTTTGTTTTAAAAATACCAAATTCAGAAGACTGTATTAGCCCAGACTACTTCGCTTTTAGAATTTCTCTTTGTGTTCATTTTGATGTGTTTTTCGTGGTAAAGCTCTAATATAACAGTCTGGTGTTTATATTCTCATAGTTGTAGCAAGTTACCGTTACATAATATGCTCAAGAAAATAGTCCTTTTTGTGTAGGTTGTTAAGAGTACTAAGTGTGAAAAATAGCCATGCACATGTGTGGAAAAGGTCATTAAAAAAACATAAGTTCTAGATACAGGGATAAGAAAATCTTTCCACCTGCCTACCGTTAAGTCCTATAAATTATTTATTTCCTGTATATATACTGTCTCTGTCTCTTTATGTACATGTAATTTATATATAAGACTGCATATAAAACACTGATAATGTGTTCTTTGTTGCTTTCATAGAGCTGTAACTCTCAGCTTTGATTCATCTCTTCTCATATACTCTCCTGGGGACTGCAGAACTTAACCTGCTCTTTAGAAAGCTTAATAAGTGCATCAGATATACATATAACCATCTTATTTAAAACAAAATCAGACTCATTTACTGCTGGTCACATATGTAGTGTTTTTTATATCTGTAAAGCACATAGTAGGAGAGTCAAATAGAAATGGCAAATAGGTGCTCTCGGCCCTCATTCTGCAGCCTTAATAGCCACATCCTCACACAACTTCACTGATTATGACATTTTCCATCTGTTCACCATCTTTGAATTAAGTAGATTCTTTTTCTCAGTAGCTTTACCAATAGTCACTGTGCAGTGGCCTGTCTGTGTTCTTGTATCAATCATACAAAACAGTGGTTTTTGAAATTACAAGAAGATTTTATAATATTAACATTGGGCTTATACATATTTTTTACTTCACATAGGCATTTAAATGTAGCTATATGACCAGACTGGGGCTGAACATTTCAAAAAGCAGCAGGACTACCCGGGGCTCCTGGCTGGCTCAGTCAGAAGAGCATGCGACTCTTGATCTCAGGGTTGTGAGTTCAAGCCCCACGTTGGGTGTGGAGATTACTGAAAAATTAAAAAAAAAAGCTGCAGGACTACCAAAAGTTATAGTAATTTTTTTTCTTTTGTGAGTCAACAAAACGGTACAAAATTATCAGAAACCTTTTGGAACACTGTTACATTGACTAATGGAGGCTGTTTTCTCCATTGGTGGTATATATAAGCTAGTTCCATACAAACTGAAAAATGCCCAGATACGTTACTGATAGTTACAGTTTTGAGAGGAACTTGATTAGATGAGACATGGAAAAGCATGCAAATTTCTATTATTAGAAACTTACTGTAAAAAATGTTTACATTGCTAAAACCTTATTTATGAGTTACTGAAAATGAGCAATAAATACTGTTGTAACAGAAGTTAGCTTGTCAGATTTATCCTATCCCCATATGTAGGAGGCATGGCTGAAGGTGGGGTGGGGGCAGGTGGAAGGTAGGGAGTGGGATACAGGGTGGGATACAGGTGTCTGCTTCCAGAGACTGGTTTCCTGGTTCATTAGGAGAGTGACTCATGGTAGTTTTCTTCTGATTAAAATAATCGTCTTTTTGGCACTTTTAAGGAACTACAAGTTGCAGGAATAGACAGATTTTATTTTGTTTTGATGTGTTGGTAGGGTGTAGCCTAACAAGACAAAATTCCTCATCTAAGGAGGTCATATAATAATGTGTTGCAATTAGGGCGGCTGGGCTGAACCTAAAAGCTGTCATGGGAGCACAGGGATGCAGTATGATTATGCTGTGTGGAGAGGAGGCTTGTGGTCTGTGTTCTGAAGGCTCCTGTGCTTCCTGTGACTCGCCCCTGCGTAGGGAGGGGTTTGGGTATTCAGATAGTAAAAAATGATCTGAAAGTCTTCACGAACAGGAGGTTAGAACTATGTGCATAGAAATCCCATTATTCAAAATAAAGAGCTACAAACTATGGCCTGGTGATATAGAGAGATATTTTTACATTTTTCTTGATATAAAACTACATTGTAATACATTTGAAAAACAGAAAAAGCATACAAAAGTAAAATAATATGTAGTTCCGTTTCTTCAGATGACCGCTGTTAAAAAAGTTGTCTTTCCAGTTTCATTCTGAATATGTGTATATGTTTTTTAAAGGATATTAAGGTGAAACTATACCCATGGTTTTTGTAACCTTTTCTTGTCACTTCATGTTTTAGGCACAGTTGCTTTTGTCCTTAGTATTTCTTCCATAACCTGATTTTTAATGGCCACGTGCTATTCCAACATGAATGTACTTTAAAATTTAATTTCCTAATGTTGAGTATGTATTTTCTTCCTGAATTTTCCTTATTACGTGATTCAATAAAAATCCTTGTTTGTAAAGTTTGTGAACAGTCCCTGATTGTTTTCCTTGGATGAGTTTCTGCAAGTAAAAGTGCTGAATCACAGAGTGTAAACATTTTTGGAATTTTTGATCCATGTTTCTAAACCGCCCATTGGAAAGGAAGCAGCATACACTTTCCAGCAGTGTGTGAGTCTTTTTGGCCAACCCTCCCCTAGTCTGAATATTCAATAGGTTGACTTAACGCACTTTTTAAACCTTTTTTAGCATCTTCGATTTTAAATTGATCAGTAATAGATACATTTTTGGTGTCACGATTCCGTGTTTTATTTCACAGATACACCATCGTATTCATCTATTATGCATTCTGCCTGGTATTGATGATGCTGCTCCGACCCCTTCTGGTAAAGAAGATTGCCTGTGGCTTAGGAAAGTCTGATCGATTTAAAAGTATTTATGCTGCACTTTACTTCTTCCCGATTTTAACTGTGCTTCAGGCAGTTGGCGGAGGCCTTTTATGTAAGTTTGATGGGTCAAGTCAGTGAAATATGTTAATTTTTATATGTGATAAACAGTGTTTTCTCTAAGCATAATTTTGTATCTTTTTCTTTAAAATAGCTTTTATAATCCCTGAAAATAATGTATTTTTGCTAAAACATATAATAAGTCTTATAAAAAAGTAAAAATGGGTTTCTTAGAATAGATATTATCAAGCTAATCAAAGCTGATTTCTATTTAGAGAATACTTTGTATCTGAGGCTTATAACCTCAGTAGGAATACTTTAAAAACCTGAGTATAAATTAAAAAGAACTGGTTTTTGTATATAATACATGGAAATTACTGTTGATTTTATACACACACACACACACACACACACACACACACTAGTATGTACTACTTACTAAGTTACGTCTTTGGTTTCTGAGTTCCTTTATGAAATCCTTTTGGGTACGGTAAAAGAATCCTCAGTATACTCTTTAGTATAGCTATTCATTTATTCAGCAACTATTTAGACTGAACTGTGACTCAAAAGAAGAATAAGAAGTTGGTGCTAAAGAACTGACATACTACTAGGAAAGCTAGAAGTAGCTGAGAGAACACAGTATAGCACTTAACCTGAATATGTGACATTGAATGTTGCAGGGATGTTAGATACCACCTTCTCTGTGGAGCCCACCAGGGTACAGAGGGCAAGGCTTCTGGCCTAAAAGAACTAGGCAAGACTGGGCATCACTATGTAGCTTGGTGATGAATTTGGCTCAAGATGAGGAAGGCACTGTGAAGGTGTGGCCAAGGGAAGAGGAAATTGGAGATTAGTCAGGGGTCTATTATCCCTCATATTCTAGTTACAGATCTATTGTTTCCATTGGGCCTGCATAGTATTTGAAAATGTATATTTCCTTCTAGCTCTTACCACTCCCTGTTTTAGTTTTGGCCCACTTCAGTTGTTTACTTGCCTGGCTGGCCTCTATAGGGGTTTGAGGTCACTATTCTTGCTCTAGAGAATAGGGTCCTACTCTTTAAGGATTTTAGGCAGAAGAGTGACATGCCTAGGTTTGCATTTTGGAAAGAGAACTTGGTAACAGTGTGGAGGATGGATTGGTAGGGGAAGAGAACCTGGGGGATCAGTGAAGAGGTTATTGCAGCTAGCCAAGTCTGTCTGACCTAACACAGAGAAACACTGGGAATGGAGAGCTGCTTTAAAGATAGATTTAACTAGATTACGTAACTGATTAAACATAGGGGTGACAGAGCGCGAGGAGAATACAATAGATAGCTTTTTTTTTTTTTTTTTGAGTGCACAAGTTGGGGAGAGGGGCAGAGGGAGAGAGATCAAGAGAATCTTAAGCAGGCTCATGTTCAGCAGAGCCCAACGCAGGGCTTGATCCCACGACCCTGGGATCATGACCTGAGCTGAAATCAAGAGTCAGACACTCAACTGACCGAGCCACCCAGGTGCACCCATAGAGTAGCTTTCTGACTTAGTAACTGGTGAATAGAGCAACAGTGAATATTAGAAAAAGCAAATTAGATATGTTGATGAGAAGTGAATTCAGTTGTAGGTATTCATGGAATATTCACAAGAGTACAGGTAATTATACTAGTCTGGTACTTGGGAGAGCTGTCTAGGAGAGAAAGATTTAAGAATTGTCAGCCTTCAAATCCCTGTGTCCTAACCTATGTATGGTGCTATTGTGTAGGACCTCTTGGTTATACGAGGACAAAAGGGGAAAAAGCTGTGGAAAGTCGGCCAGGGTTTGGGAAGTTAGCCCAAGGAGACTGCCAGGCACCATTGCTTCATATACTGTACCTGCCTACATTAAAAAATGCCTTTTCTGGGGCACCTGGGTGGCTCAGTTGGTCGAGCATTGGATTTCAGCTCAGCTCATGATCTCACGGTTCATGGGTTTGAGCCCCATGTGGGGCTCTGTGCTGACAGCCTAGAGCCTCCTTCAGATTCTGTGTCTCTCTCTATCTCTGCCCTTCTGCCACTCGCAGTCTGTCTCTTTCTCTCTCAAAGATAAACATTTTTTTTTTTAAAGAAAAATGCTTTTTCTCACAGTGAGTGTCTGATCATTTTGTTAACAAGCCCGTGCTCAAAACACATTCATTGTGAGGATAGAGGAGTCAGTGTTCACTTGCACTAAATATAAATTCATGAAGGCTCCTGAGATTAGTCACAGAGGACATTATACGAAGTCATAATTTTATGATAATGAAAAAAATAGATAATTTTTTGTGGGGGTGTCTCAGTCGTCTCAGACGGCTGTTACAATACTATAGGTGGCTTGCAAACGACAGAAACTTCCTCCTCGTTCTGGAGAATGGGAAGTCCAAGAGCAAGGCACCAGCAGATTTGGTGTCTGGGTAAGAGCCCACTGTGTCCTCCGTGGCAGGAGGGGAGGGAGCTCTCTGGGGTCTCTGTTTTGAGGGCACTAATTCCATTCACGAGAGCTCTGCCCTCATGTCCCCATCACCTCCCAAAGGCCCCACCTCTACCCTCACGTTGCGAGTTAGGATTTCAACAGAAGAATTTGGGGGGGGACACAAAATTTCTGTTCATAACAAGGAGAAACAGAAGTCTGAGCAAAGTAGAGCAGCAAGCATCCTCTGGTAGGTAGCTTAAGAGATACTTGGGTCTAGGGAGAGAGGCACTGGAATTATTAGAGGCCTGTGACAAACTTTTACCTACTTAGAAATATTATTGAAGCCCGTTTTTTTTTTTTTTTTTTCAACATTTATTTATTTTTGGGACAGAGAGAGACAGAGCATGAACGGGGGAGGGGCAGAGAGAGAGGGAGACCCAGAATCGGAAACAGGCCCCAGGCTCCGAGCCATCAGCCCAGAGCCTGACGCGGGGCTCGAACTCACGGACTGCGAGATCGTGACCTGGCTGAAGTCGGTCGCTTAACCGACTGCGCCACCCAGGCGCCCCTTGAAGCCCGTTTTTAAGCGTGATCTGTATCTGAACTACCAGGGGAACTAAAATGTAGATTCTCGGCCCCCCCATCCCCCGGCCTAGTTGCTCAAAATCTTAAATTATTTTATATCCTAGAGTAAGAACCATGCCTGAGCCCAAGACCACCCTCCACTCCCCACAAATTTAGGCCTTGTTAGAAATTTCCTCTTACCTTAGATGGCTTTTTACTACTCTGTCTTAAATTTGTATCGCTATCAACATTGTTTAGCTATTTATAAATATTTATAAATGAATTGTTTGTTGAGGATGCTTATCACTGTCTATAAAATATTCTAAATGTCAAAAAGGTACTTATTAGTAAGTTGGAATCAGGCCTGTATAGATAATTCCGAGTTTCTGCCTTCTGCATTCTGAATTAACATTTGAAATTCTTCTAGACGGGTTCCATTGCAATGAAAAATGATAAGTGGTTTCACAAATTGAAGTTGTTTTAAAATAATTATATGAAAAATAATTCAAGATTTCTTTTTCTCAATTTGCTCATTTTAGTGTGCTGTAAATTGAAAACATTTTAAGAGAAAAATAGTATTTTGTAAGAAAAAAATTTGCTTCAAATAGAAATAGCTAGAATTTTGACAAAGAATATTGGAGGGGCACCTGGGTGGCTCAGTTGGTTAAGTGACTTTAGCTCAGGTCATGATCTTACAATTTGTGAGTTCAAGCCCCGTGTCGGGTCGGGCTCTGTACTGACAGCTTGGAGCCTGGAGCTAGCTTCTGATTCTGTGTCTACCTCTCTCTCTCTCTGCCCCTCCGCTGCTCATGCTCTGTCTCTCTCTCTCTCTCTCAAAAATAAACATTAAAAAAAAAAGAAAAAGATCCATTTATCCTTTAAGGTTTGTTGATACACGAACTTTTCTAAAGAGTAATTAAAACTGAATAACTGTTACATTTAGCATTTCTCAACCAAAGTCCTCTACCTGGATCATGAAACAAAATTATTTGAGTATTTTCTCAATCCTCCCAAGTCAAGTTTCGTACATACTAGTATCATATTAGATGCATAGATGGAAGTTAATTCTTTACATTCAGCGGATGCCTTAAGGCAGGGGTCTTCAAAGCTTCAAAGCTAGGCCAAGGATTGTTTTACATTTTTTTAATGTTTTATTTATTTTGAGGGGTGGGGAGAAGGGCAGAGAAAGGGAGAGAGAGAATTCCCAAGCAGGCTCTGTGCTGTCCGTGCAGACATGGGGCTCTATCTCACCATTCACTTTGTGAGATCATGACCTGAGCTGAAATCAAGAGTTGGATGCCTAACTGACTGAGCCACCCAGATGCCCCAAGTTTTGCATTTTTAAATGGTACGGGAAAAACAGTAGTTAATTCTTAACATGTTAAAATTATATGAAGTTTGGGTTTTGTTGTTTATAAAGTTTTATTGGAACATAGCCACACCCATTCATTTATGTATTGTCTGGCTGCTTCCCACTGTAACAGGGACTTGGGTGATTGAGACAGTGTATGGCCCACAAAGCCAAACATATTTACTCTCTGGCTGTTTTCAGAAAGTTTGCTGACCCTTTTTAGGGCATTAGGGCTTAAGTCTCTCATGGGACTGGTTGAGAAAGTTTTCAACTATGGGGAGAATTATACTGTTTCAATTTTTTTGATGTTTTATTCAAAATATTCAATTTTCAATATAATACCCATGTTTGTTTTTCAGATTATGCCTTTCCGTACATTATATTAGTATTATCTTTGGTTACTCTGGCTGTGTACATGTCGGCTTCTGAAATAGAGGTAGGAAACCTTTTTTCATTTGTTAACAGGTTGTTTTGTTTTTTTTTAATAGATTTGACAACTGAATAGGAAAATAGTACATAAATAGTACTCCTGATTGTTGTAATCCTGTAATCCTTGGTGAATGGCACTCAGTAGCTATTAGATGGTTAGTTCAGTTTATAAAAGGTTGTATGTTACACTGTATATGCTTGGGAAGTCAGTGAAGTAGTAGGCTCGACTATTCAGCATCTTGGAGACAAAAACTATCGTTTCACAAAATTGACCCACATAGAAAATGTTTAATTATTGAAATGTTGAAAGTTGTTAGCACCGTTTTGAAGGAAACATAAAATACTTTATTGTAAGTAGAATTAATTTTACATTTTATTTTATAATGATGATGACTAAGTCATCAATAATTATATACATTCCATACCCTTCTATATTTTGTTCCCAATTTTATCTTCTTGATTATGGATGTTTACTTTCACGCTCTAATATCTAAGATTTTGGTGATTTGAAAGAACATTAATAGTCACATTAGTTTTGATACTGTTCCTGTTTTGAGATCTCCATTTTGTGCCTCTTTTTAAGTGTTTCAGTGGAAGGCCACTGTTTGAAAGAACTCTTTGAGTTATTCCTTTAACTTGAAAGGAATAAAGGTGTAAAGTGTCTTAGTTCTCGTCCATCCTGCTTGCTAGTCTAGTGCCTGGGCACTGTCTTCAACCGTGTACTGCAGTCAATAAGATGTGTGCTTTCTCTTAATTCTTTCTTTAAAAAAGTTCTAGAGTTCAGAGACTATTTTGGAGTCCTCGTTGTTGCTCTTTTTTCTGTTATGTTACGGAAAGAATGAGAGGGAATGGCTTTCAGGTAGAATAATAGAGGAAATACACAGAATATTTTTATGGTGATTCAAATGTTTTCATTTGTATACTGTCCCCATTTCTCCTTTGTAATCTTTAATCAACATTACAAGGTGTTTAAAGAAGATAAACAAATTCATTTTGTCACTTTTATCAACTCTAGGGAAAGACTCGAAGGAGGACATGATTGGATATTTCAATAAAATAAAGCTTTTAAATTTTTGTTTATTATCTACAACTACTGTGGATAGTTAAATCAGCTTGAAACTTATTTCTCTGCCCCAGGAATCTCTCATGTATAAAATGTTTGTGTACTTCAATTAGACTCTATAATGAATCAGAAACAGGGACGTGAATCAGGAAAAGAAAATCTAATTCTAGATGAGTTGATGAGTTGTTTAATAAGAGAAAGTTGGTAACTAACCTACTGCAAATTACATTTCAGTATGTTTAATAGCACCTTCAGATACTACTTTTATAATAACTTGGTCCCTCCAATTTCTACATATTACAGAACTGTTTTAAAGATGAAAGGAAATCACAGTGTTCATAGGTCATTTCTGTTCCCTTCTAATTATGCAGGCAGCAGACTCGAGGAATACTAGAGACTGAGGAAGTTGGGTGTATGTACCTCCTACTTCCCACCTGTAACCCTCAGCTACAGTGGATCAGGGCAGGAAGCAGGCACATAGTATGGGATTCCCTTCTAGTTCCTATCTCTCAGAAGAAACTGGAGTGTTTCCAGGGTTGAATGCTGGTGTGGACTAGAACTTAAGAGACATGGGCTCCTGTCTTGGTGCTGTCCTGGGAGTGCTTATATGGCTATAGGAAGCCTCAGTTTCCAGTTTCCTCATCTGTAAACTCGTAGCTAGAATGAGTGATTTCTTAGGTCCTTTTTAGGTCAAACATTGTATAATTCTGAGGTTAAGATTTTGTGTGGAAACAATATATTTTATTTTTATTGAAGTATTAACATACAGTGTTCTGTTAGTTTCAGGTGTACAATATAATTACTCAACAAGTCTATACATTACTCAGTGCTCATCAAGATAAGTGTATTCTTAATCCCCTTTATTTCCCCCACCTCCCCTCTGGTAACCACCAGTTTGTTCTCTGTATTTGAGTCTTTTTTTTTTTTCCTTCCAGTCCCTTTTTATCCTTTGTTTCTTAACATATGAGTGAAATTGTATGGTATTTGTCTTTCTCTCAGTGGTTACTTCACTTAGCATTATACCCTAGGTCCATCCATGTTGTTGCAAATGGGAAGATCTCATTCTTTTTTATGACTAAGTAATGTTCCATTGTTCATCTATATGACATCTTTATCCATTCATTTATTCATGGACATTTGGGTTGTTTCCGTATCTTGGCTTTGTAATTAATGCTGCAATAAACGTGGAGGTGCATATGGGGCATCTGGGTGGTTCAGTCAGTTGAGCATCCGACTTCGGCTCAGGTCATGATCTCACAGTCCGTGAGTTCAAGCCCCCGTGTCAGGCTCTGTGCTGACAGCTCGGAGCCTGGAGCCTGGAGCCTGCTTCAGATTCTGTGTCTCCGTCGCTCTCTGCCCCTCCCCCACTCGTGCTCTCTCTGTCAAAAATAAACATTAAGAAAAAAATTAAAAAAAAACAAAACGTGGAGGTGCATATGTATCTTTTCAGATTAGTGTTTTTGTTTTCTGGGTAAATACCCAGTAGTGGAATTTGGTTATTCTGTTTTTAATTTTTTTGAAGAACCTCCATATTTTCCACAGTGGCTGTACCAGTTGGCATTCCTACCAGTGGTACACAAGGGTCCTTTTTCTCCACCTCCTTGCCAATATTTGTCATTTCTTATGTCTTGGATGTTAGCCACTGTGGCAGGCATAAGGTGATTTCTCCTGGTGGTTTTAATTTGCATTTCCCAGATGATCGGTGATGTTGATCATCTTTGCACGTGTCTGTTGTCCATCTGTAAATTTTTTTCGAAAACCCTTCATGTCCTCTGCCCATTTTTTAATCGGATTGTTTCTTACAGATATATCACTTGCAAATCTCTTCTCCCCTTCATTAGGTTTCCTTTTGGTTTTGTTGATGATTTCCTTCACTGTGTAAAAGCTTTTTATTCTGGTGTAGTCCTAATACTTTGTTTTTACTTTGTTTCTCTTGCCTGAGGAGACATATATAGGAAAATGTTTCTTTAGCCAATGTCAGATTACTGCCTATTTTGTTCTAGGAACTTTATGGTTTCAAGTCTCACATTTAGGTCTTTAATCCATTTTGAGTGTATTTTTGTGTATGGGGTAAGACAGTGGTCCCGTTTCATTTTTTTGAATGTAGATGTACAGTTTTCACAGCACTGTTGAAGAGACTGTCTTTTCCCCATTGTGTACTTTTGCCTTCATGGTCCTAAATTACTTTACCACATGTGCGGGGGTTTTTTTCAGGGGATTCTGTTCCACTGATCTGTGTGTCTCCTTCTGTGTCAGTACAATACTGTTTTGAATACTGTAGCTTTGTAGTATATCTTGAACTCTGGGCTTGTCATACCTCCAGCTTTGTTTTCCTGTCTCAAGATTGCTTTGGCTATTTAAGGGTTTTTTTGGTTCCATATAAATTTTACAATTCTAGTTCTATAAAAAATGTTGCTATTTTTTTTTTTAATTTTTTTTTTCAACGTTTATTTATTTTGGGGACAGAGAGAGACAGAGCATGAACGGGCGAGGGGCAGAGAGAGAGGGAGACACAGAATCGGAAACAGGCTCCAGGCTCTGAGCCATCAGCCCAGAGCCCGACGCGGGGCTCGAACTCACAGACCGCGAGATCGTGACCTGGCTGAAGTCGGACGCCTAACCGACTGCGCCACCCAGGCGCCCCAAAATGTTGCTATTTTGATAGGGATTGTATTAAATCTGTAGATTTCTTTGGGTATTGTAAACATTTTAACAATATCGGGTCTTCTAATCCATGAGCATGGAATTTCTTTTCCATTTGTTTGTGTCACCCTCCGTTTCTTTCATCAGTGTTTTATAATTTTCAGACTATAGGTCTTTCACTTCCTTGGTTTGTTTTTTTAATTTCTCATTCTCCTACTTCATTATTAGTGTATAGAAATGCAACAGATTTCTGTTTATTAGTTTTGTATCCTGCGACTTCACTGAACGCATTTATCAGTTCTAGGTGGTTTTCAGTGGGTCTTTATGGTTTTCTACATAATACAGTAAAACCTTGGTTTGTGAGCATAATTCCTTCCAGAAACATGCTTGTAATCCAAACTACTTGTATGTCAAAGTGAATTTCCAGAACCATTGGCTCAGTTGTGATCATGTGACATTCACTGTCACTTACTACTCGTATTGCAAGACATCGATTGTTTATCAAGTCCAAATTTATTGCAACTGTTTGCTCATCTTGTGGAACACTCGCAGAACAAGTTACAATCCAAGGTTATACTGTATGTCATCTGCAAATCATATAAATTTTACTTCTTATCAATTTGGATGCCTTTTATTTTTTCTTATGTGATTGCTGTAGCTTGGACTTCTGGTAGTATGTTGAATAAAAGTGGTGAGAGTGAACATCCTTATCTTGTTCTGGATCTTAGAGGAAAAAGCTTTGTTTTTTACCATACTAGATTTAAGCTGTGGGGTTTTCATATTTGGCCTTCACTATGTTGAGGTATGTTCTCTCTAGACCTATTTTGTGGAGAGGTTTTATCACAAATGGATGTTGTGCTTTGACAGATAATGCTGTTTTGCATCTGTTGAGCTGATCCTATGGTTTTGATGTCTTCTCTCATTAATGTGATATCGCATGTTGATTGATTTGCAAATATTGAACTTGGAATAAAACCCACTTGGTTGTAGAGAATAATTTTTTTAGTATATTTTCCCATTTGGTTTACCAGTATTTTGTTGAGGATTTTTGCGTCTCTGTTCATCAGAGATAATTGTTGAGTAATTATAATATGTAGATGTGTAACATATCTGTAGTTTTCTCTTTTTGTGGTATCTTTCTCTGGTTGTGGTATCAGAGTGCTGGCCTCACAGAATAAATTGAGAAGCTTCCCTTCCTATTTTTTGGAATAGTTTGAGAAGAACGGGTATTAACTCTTCTTTAGTTTTATTTATTTATTTATTTACTTACTTATTTATTTATTTATTTATTTATTTTGAGAGAGAGAGAGAGAGAGAGCGCGCAAGTGTGGGGGCAGGGAGAGAAAGGGGGACAGAGAATCCCCAGCAGGTTCTATGTTTAGCGCGGAGCCTGATGTGGGGCTCGATCTCAGCCCTGAGATATGACCTGACCTGAAGTTGAATCAGACACTTAATCAACTGAGCCACCCAGGCAACCCCTTAACTTTTCTTTTAATGTTTGGTAGAATTCACCTGTAATGCCATGTGGTCCTGGACTTTAGTTTGTTGAGAGTGTTTCAATTACTGATTCCATTTCATTGATAGTAGTTTCCTGATTCAGTTCCCTGGTATGTTTCTAGGAATGTATCCATTTCTTCAAGGGTGTCCAATTTATTGGTGTATAATTTTTCATAATCTTTTTTAATCCTTAGTATTTCTGTGGCATCAGTTATTTCTCCTCCTTTTCTAGTTTTATTTCAGACCTCTCTTTTCTTAATGAATCTGGCTTACCGATTTTGTTGATCTTCAAAGAACCAGCTCATGGTTTCACTGATCTGTTGTTGTTTTTATTAACTCTCTTTTATTTACTTCTGCTCTAGTCTTTATTAATTTTCTTCCTTCTACTGGCTATGGGCTTTTTGTAGCTTGTTTAGGAGTAAGGTTATTTGAAACTTTTCCTGCTTCTTGAGGTAGCCCTCTGTTGCTATAATGTTCACTCTTAGAACAACTTTTGCCATGTCCCAAAGATTTGAACCATTGTGGTTTTTTTTTACTTATTTACATTATTAAATACAATTTATTGTCAAATTGTTTTCCATAAAACACCCAATGCCCATCCCAACAGGTGCCCTCCTCAATGCCCATCACCCACTTTCCCCTCTCCCTCCTTCCCCCATCAACCCTCAGTTTGTTCTCAGTATTTAAGAGTCTCTTATGGTTTGCCTCCCTCCCTCTCTGTAACTTTTTTTCCCCCCTTCCCCTCCTCCGTGGTCGTCTGTTAAATTTCTCAGGATCCACATATGAATGAAACATATTGAACCATTGTGGTTTTCATTTGTCTCATGTATTTTTTTAATTTCCTCTTTGATGTCTTGGTTGACCCATTCATTGTTAGTAGCATGTTATTTAGCCTCCATGTGTTTGTGTTTCTACATTTTTTTTCTTGTGATTGATTTCTAGTTTCATACCTTTGTGGTTAGAAGAGATGCATGATAGGATTTTAATCTTTTTAAGTTTATTGAGACTTGTTTTATAGTCTGACATGTGATCCATTCTGGAGAAGGTCCCATGTGCACTTGAAAAGAATTTGGAATCCATTGTTTTTGGAAGGAATATTCTGAATATATCTGTAGGTCCATCTGGTTTTATGTGTCATGAAAAGCCACTGGTCTTACTGATTTCTGTCTGAATGACGATGTATCCATTGATGTAAGTATAGTGTTGAAATTAACTATTAGTGGATTACTGTCACCTTTCTTTGTGTCTGTTAATAGTTGCTTTATGTGTTTAGGTGCTTCCATGTTGGCTGCATAGATATTTACAATTGTTATATCCTCTTGTTGGATTGTTCTATTATTATGTAGTGTCCTTTTTTGTCTCTTGGTACAGACTTTGTTTTAAAGTCTGTTTTGTCCGGTATAAGTATTGCTATTCCAGCTTTCTTTTCCCTATTTGCATACTTTTTTTTCCATCCCTTCACTTTCAGTCTGCATCTATCTTTAAGTCTGAAGTAAGTCTGTTAAAGGCAGCACTTATGGGGCGCCTGGGTGGCACAGTCGGTTGAGCGTCCGACTTCAGCCAGGTCACGATCTCGCGGTCCGGGAGTTCGAGCCCCGCGTCAGGCTCTGGGCTGATGGCTCAGAGCCTGGAGCCTGTTTCCGATTCTGTGTCCCTCTCTCTCTGCCCCAAAAATAAATAAACGTTGAAAAAAAAAAATTAAAAAATAAAAAAAATAAAATAAAGGCAGCACTTAGGTTTTTGTTTTTTATCCACTCAGGACCCTGTGTCTTTTGACTGTAGTATTTAGTCCCATTTATACTCAAAGTGATTATTGCCATTTTCTTACTTTCACTGCTTTCTAGTTTTCTGCTCCTTTTCTTTCTCTGCCTTTGTGGTTTGATGGCTTTACTGTTATGCTTAGAGTCCTTTCTATTTATCTATTATAGGTTTTTGATTTGTGGTTACTGTTATGTCCATATATACCTCCTTATGTGTATAGCAGTCTATATTAAGTTGTGAGTGACTTTAGTTTGAGCCCATTCTAAAAGCACTAAATTTTTTACTCCCCTCCCCCTCCCTTTTATGTATATAATCATACTTTACATCCTTTTATGAATCCCTTGCCTGATTTTTTTTTTCCCTTGACTGATTCTTATAGATAAAATTGATTTTGCTGCTTTTGTGCTTTAATTCCCATACTGGTTTTATATGTGATTAATCTCTTAGTATATTTTTGCATTTATCTGTGACATTTTTTTCCTTTCCTAATTTTCTTCTGATTATGGCCTTTTCTTTCCACTCAAAGAATTTGGCCTGAATATTTCTTGTAAGGCTGGTTTAGCAGTGATGCACTCCTTTGTCTCTCCTCCTATTCTGAATGGTAACTTTGCTAAGTATTCTTGTTTTTGTTTTTTTTTTTTCCTTTCAGCCCTTTGAATATATTATGCCATTCCCTTCAGTCCTTCAGAGTTTTTGCTGAAAAATCAGCTCATAGGCTGATGGGGTTGTTTTTTAAATATGTACCTGTGTTCCTTTCTCTTCTTGTAAAAATCTCTGTCACTACTTTTGCCATTTTAATTACTATGTGCCTTGGTGTGGACCTCCTTAGGTTGTCTGTTTCCCCAGATTAGGGAAGTTTTCAGCTAATATTTCAAATTTTCTGCCCCTTTTCTCTCTCTTCTCCTTCTGGGATCCCTATAATGTGACTATTATGCTTGATGGTATCATTGAGTTCCCTTAACCTATTCTTGTTTTTTAGTGTATCGTTTCCTGGTTGCTGTTCAGCTTGGCTGCTTTCCATTATATACATCTTCCAAATCATGGATCCTTCTTCTGCCTTCTCTAAATTATTGATTCCCTCTTGTGTATTGTTCATCCCGGTTGAGTTCTTCATCTCTGACTCTGAGATCTTCTACTCTTTTCTCAAGTCCACCGAGTATTACTTTGAGTTGTTCACCATGCATATTATCTCTGTTTCATTTGGGACGCATTCCTCTGTCTCATTTGTGTATTTTTTTTCCTCCATGTATTAGATGCTAGTCCACTATATCTCCTGATCTTGAAAGCCGTGGTCTTCTGAAGGAGAGGTCCTGTAGTGCCCTATGGCACCCTGGTCACCAGAACCAGGCACTTCAGGGGTGTCTCCTGTGTGGGTACATATGTCCTACCGTTGTGGCCGAGCTGCGTTTGCCTTCAGTCAGCAGCGGTGGCCCCACTTCATCTGCTTTGGGGCACACCAGGCAGGGTTTGGTGGGTGTGCTTTTAAAGTGCCAGTCCGGGGCCGCTGAGAACCTGCAGTGTGGCAGTCCTAGCGGTCAGACCAGATGCCTGACCCCATTCTGTCTTTTGGGGCTGCAGTTGCACCTGTTTCCAGAGCGTTCTCCCTGCCTTGTCTCCTGAGAGGTTTTCATTGGTTGGTGGGGCTGGCAGTCCCACCAGAGGCTTGTTCCCAATCTGTTGAGGCTACATTAGCATGGATCAGCAGGGTCCTTCCTCTGCACACTTGGTTATAAGGTTCGGCTATGTGGACTGCAGGCACACTCGTGTGTGTGATTATCTTCCCTTCTCCCCAGGGCAGGAGCCACTCTGGGGTTGCTCACAGGGTATGTTGGGACATGGTGCTAGCAAGACAGGTGGAGAGTCTTCTGCTGGTTCCTGCAAGTGTCTGGGTAGGAGTGGGGAGAAATGGCATTTGCCAGCTCTTTTGTTCTTGGAGAAGTTTCCTAAAGATCCCTGCACTTCTATTGTACATTCTGAGATTAGTAAATCTCCTTCACAGATACCTCTGGTGCTTTTCAAACTGTTGCTTCCATGCTGGATCTCTGCCAGGTTAGGCCGGCTCTTTAATGGCTGGGACTACTCAGTTTCTCTGTTGTCTTCTGGGGCTCTTGGAGCTAAGCGCCACCAATTATAAAAACTCGCAAAGTGAAGGCCCACTATTTTTCAAAGCCTAACGTTATGGGGACTCGCCCTCCCAGTGCTGGACCCCCGTGCCTAGGGTTCCTGGTGTGAGGTCTGAAACTTTGACTTGTGGTGTCCCTCCTCTTTATGGTTAGTCTCTCCCTTCTTACCCTTGTTGATGTGGCCTCCTCTCTACAGTTAACTGTGGAAAATCCTCTGCCAGTCTTTGGGTCATTTTCACAGTTAGTTGCACTGTTGTGTCTGTTACCTCAGTGTATCCATGGGATGAGGTAAGCTCAGGAGCCTCCTGTTCCGCCATCTTCCCAACAAATAATACATTTTAAAATATAATTAATAAATTATCTAGTTTATTTAGCCTGATAATCTGTATTTGTTTTCTCTCTTTTATAACATTATATAGAATTGCTATGATCTTCTGGTGAGAAAGAAAAGACTTATTGTTCTCTTCAGCCACTGGTTACTTCATGCCTATGGAATAATATCCATTTCCAGAGTGGATAAACTCGAGCAAGATTTACCCCTTTTGGCTTTGGTACCCACCCCAGCTCTTTTTTACTTGTTCACCGCAAAATTTACCGAACCTTCACGGATACTGTCCGAAGGAGCCAATGGACACTGAATGTAAGAGCCAAAAAACCTAAAAAGTGTTCCTTGTGAAAAATATAAAATGTATTAATGGTCTTCTGTTGTACATGGAAATAAGATGGGGTTTGTTTGTTAACAGCCTTTATGGTTAGACTTGGAAAAATATAGTAGATATGCTATAGCACACTGGGACACTACAGGCTTGTTAGGAAGCGCTTGCCTCCTGTAACAATATTGTTATTCCTTAGAGCAAAACCATGTTTCTGGAATAAGCTGAAATCTTTAGCATTGACCTAATTTTGCATGTATTTGTTTTTCAAGTGTAATTATAAGGACAAACATATCTTGGTGGCCTGCTAGCAATCATGGAAATGAAGTACGTTGTTTGTTGTTATCTATTTATTTTTACCAATACAGTATTTTGATTATAAAACTAGAGCATAATTTATATAACAGGTTTTTTGTTTATAGGTGGTTTGGTTGAAAACATCTTCTGGTTGTTTCTGTTAAGAAAAACAATAAAATGTTTACAAAAAAAATCTCAGATGTTCTGACATTTAATTGTATTTTGCCACACGAATTGTGGAAATAATTCAAACTATTTAGTAAGAGTATTCCTTTCCCAAATGAATAAATACATGTATTCACATAGTCCCTCCTTCTTAGGTCTCCTTTTTAAAGGCTGTATACCAGGGCCATATTTTCTTGATCCTGAAACTTTTTCACATGGGACATCTCTGAATTAGGATGTATCTCAGAATTGATGCCTTCTTAGATTTAACAAAATACAGAATATATACAATACATAGTTTTCCTGTGGTTGTTGATAGGTGTGCTGTGAATTTTATGCTCTGAAGCCTTTAAGAGACTCATGTGGAACCAAAATAAGGTTTAGCACTTAACCTGATAACCTTCTAAACACCACAAATGGATAAACATGGTCAGATTATTTACCAATTCTGCTATTTAGTGGGGATTATGCAGGCTTGTTAATCTCAAACTTAAAACTTTCACTGACCATTGCAAAATCTGAAAGAAAGTGCACTTACTTTGTGCCTTTTGAATTCACAGCAGTTGTATCTTTGAAGTTATTATTTTTTCTCTGCTAATGCGTTTTTCATGGTACATTCAACCACGGGGGGGTGGACTTTTTTGATATGAACGTGTTTCTTCTTTTCTGTAGGAATAAAAATAAGAATTTTATGTCTCTCATACAAGTTTGGGTGGTTATTAGTGTCCATTAAAATTCTAAATTTCCCAAAGAATCCTCAATTAGATGACTGTACAATCTGGGACTTGGGGGTGGCGTGCAGCCTGGGGAGTCATTATCTGCTTACCAGTACCATATCTGTCCCGTTACATTTGGAACCATTTTAACAATTATCTCCTTTGATTTCCTAGTCTAGCAGAAAGATGTGTATGCAAAAGGAAAAATCATGTAAGTCATTATTACATTCCTCAAATGCAAAGAATTTCAGGAATACTTAAAGCAAATTAAAAATGCAGATATATATTTAAGAACAAGATCAGAACAATTCATAGCAACTGTGGTTGTCAATGTTAGTAAATCTGTTGAAACACGGTCATTAAAAATATAAAAAATGGGCACCTAGGTTACTCCATCAGTTACACATCATACTCTTGATTTTGGTTCAGGTCATGATCTCATGGTTTGTGAGTTCAAGCCCCACGTCAGGCTCTGCACTGACAGTGCGGAGTCTGCTTGGGATTCTTTCTCAAACATTTAAAAACACAACAACAAAAAATAAAAAACAAATTGCCCTTGTCCTAGCTCAGGTTTGTTCAGTTTTTACTTAGGTACTCATAGGCAATCATAACCCTCACTGCTATGGTGCGTGGTAATTATTTTGCTAACCAGTGCTGGATAGGTAATTTAAAGGTCAAAATATTTTTACTAATTTGGGTCAGTTGATAAATTTAACAATTACATGTTCTATATTTGTCTAAAACTATTGGGTTGCAAGACTTGGCTGACAGCATATACAAATTTGCTCTTTCTTTTAAAATATCCCTCAGGCTAAAAAAAGTCTTCTGTACTACACATACCAAATGAAGATACTTAGTTAATATAAATATCTGTAACTTTAATACTTTTTAAAAAATAATCTTGGGGCGCCTGGGTGGCGCAGTCGGTTCAGCCAGGTCCAACTTCAGCCAGGTCACGATCTCGCGGTCCGTGAGTTCGAGCCCCGCGTCGGGCTCTGGGCTGATGGCTCAGAGCCTGGAGCCTGTTTCCGATTCTGTGTCTCCCTCTCTCTCTGCCCCTCCCCCGTTCATGCTCTGTCTCTCTCTGTCCCAAAAATAAATAAACGTTCAAAAAAAATTAAAAAAAAAAATCTGTACTCGGTTACTATTTGATTTAGGAATACACACTAAGAACTTGTTTACTTTTTACCTTAACAGTCCTTCTTCCAAATAAAAGGTAATCTTAGTTTTCAAGATGAATTCTGGCATTTCAAGTTCTGACAAGCCGTTCCTCCACCTGTGCCAACCGGTCCCCCGGGTAGATGTCTACTCAGCCAGGCTACCGCGGTCCTTGGCCCAGGGCACGTCTACTGCCCTTTCAGGAAGACATCCTTCTGTATTCCCAACACCTAAAAAAAGGCTTAGAGGTGTCTCCTTTACCCTCTCATAGCCACTCACTAGAAGGAATCCCTTGTTTTCTAATCAGCTCTTTGCTTGTTTGCGCTCACGATGTACGTACTTTGAGGTTCAAGAACTGGGTCTTACTCAACTCAGTAACTGCAGCATTTGCTCTAGTGCCAGGCTCAGAGGTGCCCCCATCTGTTACTGAAGCTAGTGCAGTGTTCCTGAAGGAGAGGGCCAGGCCCTGCAGGGCTACAGTGACAGATTATGTCCAGAAGAGAACAGGAGAGCACTGTTGAGCTGGAAGAGATCAAGGGCTTCTCTACAAGCCCCATCACTTGAGAGAAGCCATTCAAAAGGGAAAATCCAAATTACAGCCAGATTACAGGTGGCTCAGAGATGATTAAGTAATCCAAGGGGTCAAAGCTGACTTACTTCCTTAGGAGGGCCATAGATTTCAAGAGATCTGATGAGTGCCTAATTTGGGTCCGCTGCTTTGTAACTTCCTGTTAACTATCCATATTTTACAATCAGGGAACCTAGGGAGTAGAGGTTAAATAACACGTAGGAAGCAGGGCTGAGATCTGAGCCCAGGTCCGCCTACCTTCAAAGCCCACATCGTGCTGATGCTCTTCTAGGAGCAGAGATAAGTGGAGTTAGGGAAACCAGAAACATTCAATGTCAGCTCCATTTCAGAGACCTCTCCTCCCCCCCACTCCTCCCCCCGATTCCTTAACTGGGTCAAAGTCTCATTCCCTGTTAGGTTCTCTCACAGTTCTTACGCTTCACCTGGGAAACCCCTATGACAACGGATTTTACATACATTTGTAGGATAACCGATTCTCCCACGATAGCAGAAGTGAGAAGACCAGAGCCTGAGGAGTTCTCTGACCCACACACTCTGCAACTGGCCCAGAATGTCATAACATTAGCACTGACCACTAACTTCCCTACTTTTGACCCTTTTAACCTTGGAACAACCAGAGAAAGCCAGATACGCTTACTAATTAATGACATACCATGTCTCCTAAGCTGCTCCCAGCTTCCCCATGCTAACAAGCTCCGATCGGAGCACATCAGACACCTTCTCTGTTTTTTCACATTACACCTTTCCCATTCCCCTGTCTTTGGATCTCTGCAAAAAGCAAAGGATGGCGACCCATTCTCTTGCTATACCAAGTTTTATGCCTCAGCTTATTTCCATTTAGCTGGTCTTCCTTTATTTTCACACTGTAATATTCTCCTTTCCCTATAGTTATCAGTGAGACAGTCCACAAAATATGGGAAAAAGAGAGGATGGTATTACTCAGTGGGCTTAGCTTTTCAATCTAATCTATTTACATTTGCTCCAACATGAAAGATCCCATCAGGTTTCGGACAAAGATGGGAGACTCATTCATGTGAAAATAGTGCAATTGATGCTTTGAGGTGATTTCACTTTTAAAATTCTGCTTGATATACAGTTGCTGGGGATGTCCTAACTTCCCAAAGAAAATTTTACAAAGTGACCAGGGCCCATCAGCAACCCAATATGCGCTGATACATAGTAAGTCTCACCAGGCTGAAGCAGGACCGCAAAAACAGCTTTTTGGCTGATAAAGTTTACCCACAAAAGTCTTCAATGGTCACTAAAACATTATTTCTCTGGTCAAGCAGTGCCCTGAGAACATTGGTTTTTACCAAATATTGGAATGTCTTTATTTTTTTTTTTTTTTTTGAACGTTTATTTATTTTTGGGACAGAGAGAGACAGAGCATGAACGGGGGAGGGGCAGAGAGAGAGGGAGACACAGAATCGGAAACAGGCTCCAGGCTCTGAGCCATCAGCCCAGAGCCCGACGCGGGGCTCGAACTCGCGGACCGCGAGATCGTGACCTGGCTGAAGTCGGACGCTTAACCGACTACGCCACCCAGGCGCCCCTGGAATGTCTTTAATCCCATCACTTTCTACCTTATTTCATTTTCTACAACCCACCTTTAAAATTGCTTAGCTAATGACCTTCTTTAAAATGACACCTTTAGGGGCACCTGGGGGGGGCTCAGTCAGTTAAGCGTCTGGCTTCAGCTCAGGTCATGATCTCACAGTTCATGAGTTCGAGCCCCGCATGGGGCTCTGTGCTGCCAGCTCAGAGCCTGGAGCCTGCTTCAGATTCTGGGTCTCCCTTTCTGTCTGCCCCTACCCTGCTTGTGCGTTCGCTCTCTCTTTCTCTCAAAAACAAACATTAAAAAAAATTTTTTAAATAAAATGACACCTCTAGTCCGTGCATTTGCTAGATGACATTCTCATTTCACCACTCCATTTCTCCTCTACACTCTATTCTCCTTCCTTCTCCCGGCCCTTTGTACCTCCATCATCCCGTCTTCCCCAGGGATTCCACCCCGGGGATCTCAGGGCTGTCCCTGTGCAAGGACTGACCTCCATTTCCTACAGCAGCCAGAGTCTGCACAGGGTTCTGTGGCCCTCACGTCTAACGTGACATTAGAGTAAAAACTGAGAATGAAGCTGATAATCCTCCGGAGAGACTGGACTGCTTGCTCGTGACACAATCATGTTATGTAGAATGTGTTACATCTCAGGAGCCCCAGAAGGCATCACTATCACTGATTTTCAGAGAAGGCAATAGTTGCTGTTTTTAATACTAAACTCAACTCAGGAAGAAAAGGTAAAGTGATGTTTCATATCCTCTGCTTAAGAAGATAAGAAAGTGCGTAAAAGGGTTTTTTAAAAAGACCTTGAGGGGCGCCTGGGTGGCGCAGTCGGTTAAGCGTCCGACTTCAGCCAGGTCACGATCTCGCGGTCCGTGAGTTCGAGCCCCGCGTCGGTCTCTGGGCTGATGGCTCAGAGCCTGGAGCCTGTTTCCGATTCTGTGTCTCCCTCTCTCTCTGTCCCTCCCCCGTTCAAGCTCTGTCTCTCTCTGTCTCAAAAATAAATAAAACGTTGAAAAAAAAATTAAAAAAAAAAAAGACCTTGAAAGTAAGAGTTTTAAAAAACCAGAAAGAAATATTCAGTTATTTAGAAAATTCACGTAGGTGGAAGGGATTTGTCT